TTTAGTCAATGTTGCTAATTCACAGCTTAAAATCATAAGTTTAATCTTTTGGTGTATGCTACAAATGCTTACACTATGTGTTCCGCTAGCCCCTGCTAATATACAATTTTTTGGTCTTAAGCTAACAAATTTCAAAAATCCAATTGTTAACTTTGAATTACTCGCCTTAAAATGATTATATAATTCTTTCAAATTATTAAGAACTAACCTTTTTGAGCGTTCACTCGTTCCCCCTTTTCAATGATAGATATGCAATCTTTTTTTCATGGTAATACCCTACTAACTTTATCACTGCAATTTTAACAATATCAACTGTTTTTTGAATGAGATATTTTGCAGGCTTTCGATTTGGTTGAAAGAATCCCCTTTTCTTCTAAAATGATTTTGGAATTATATGCCAAATGATATGTAGCGTTGAATGTCGTTTTTATTTTACTTGCGCTCCAAAGGAGGCAGAATGGTCAGCATTTGATATTTTTTATTTTTAGATAAATTAGGATATTGTAATTTCATGATATTGTGTATATCATTATTATCTTTTGTATCCGATTCTGGATCGTTAATTATTATATCTTAAATAGCTTTTGATATTTTCGTTACCTTTTTTTTGAATAATTTTTTTTCGGTTAGTTTTTTTTTAATAGGAGATATTCCAAACCCATTACTGAACGGAGCATATATACACCACCTCCTATATATCATTTTTAAACATAGTAGTTTTTATTTTAAAAAATAATAAAAAAGATTTTTATATAGTTTAGACATTTTACCTCAAAACTAAAAGAAAAATATGAAAATTTTTTTTTATGTCCCTAAGAAGCCCTTAAACATGGCGAATTTATGAGGTCTAAAATGCAAAGTCTTCTAGGTGATCTCACGAGCATATTATGAAAATATTTCGATGAAAACTAGTGTCTATATTTTTTTTATAGATATATCAATATTTATCAATCATTTTTGAAATTTTAAATAATTAAAATTTAAACGGTGCATATATGCACCGTTAACCATCTAGAAGTATAAATTATTTAAAAAAATTTTAACAAATCAAATTTAACATAATGAATTATAATTTTTTATATTATACTTAAAACTATTACCATTACTAAGGAGGTAAGGGGAAAGGAGGTGGCTCGAGCCCCCTTAAAGTTTTGAAAAAAAATTTCATACCCAAAAAAAGGTCTTTTGAAAATATTTTTGAGCCTTCTGAGAATCGAATAATATGTTTCTTTTATAATTTTTTATCTCGACCTAATTACATGAAATTATTCGCAAATATTCGGTTCATAAATATTCGAAAATTAAAATTATTCATAAAAATTTTTAATTATTTGTACCCTCTTCCTTGCTGAACATTTTTTTTCTTATGCACCTGTTTTGTCAATTCAATCAAAATTATCAAAATAATTCATGACTAATTAAAAAATCAAGATTTTATAAAATAAATTAATTAAAATTTTTAAATGAATCGTTTCTAAAATGACTTAACAATTGACGGAGTTTTACCTTCAGATACTGCTGGTGAATTGGAGATACGTAATTCAATTGTTGACGACATTCCAGAACCATCTGCTACAAGAAGCTATTCTGTAATTTCTCCCCATTTAAAATGGAGAAAACATATAACTTATATTCTACAATCCCTTTCAATGGGGAAAATGAAGATATAATAAAACTTGAAGACAATTTGCATGGTAAAAATCCATCAGATATATTTTTTAATTTTCGGCGAAGACTTATATTCCCTAATTGTAGATCAAAGTAATATTTATGCAAAACAAATGAATAGGTCTAATAATGTATAACCATCCCAGATATTAAGAGATTTAGATTCTATTATTTACTGGATATCATTCGCTCCCACTGTAAAAAATGTATTGTCAAATAATAGTGATATTTCTATTCCAATAATCCGGAATACAATGTCCCATACTAAATTTGAAATATTCATTTGACAGACAATAAAAACATATACATGATTAGATTTTATAAATTTAGGCCTTACAAAACCAAATTATCATAAAATATATTTTGATAATTTCTATATCTCAATTAAACTTTTGTCATACTTAAAACAAATGGGATATTTTACAAATGGAACTGTGAGGGATAATAGAATGGAGCTTTGCCCAGTTGAATCTATAATTGCTGTAGCAAAAAAAGAAAGAGGATATTATGATCATAGGTTCGAAAAATTAAACGAAATATTTATAGTTCGTTGGAATCCAAGTAAATATCTTTTAAAATAAAAATTCCTCAACCAAATATGATCACTGCACATGAGCGGAGTTGATCTATGTGATAATCCCATATCTACTATAGAATAAAAAGAGGGGAAAAAAGGGCGGTGGCCAATATTCACCAATCTTATCGATGTAGCTTTGGTAAATTCGTGAAAAATTTGGAAATTCATGAATCGAGATGAGAAGAGATTGCTTGCATTTAGGAGAAGTTACTACTTCCTTTGAATATCAATAAAAATTGTTGAAAAAATTTAAGTACAGGGCACGCAAGCCAGTTTGCATTACAGAGCACCCTAGTGATTCATGGAAATTATTTATCCAAAATTATAGATGGAAAAAGACGTAGATGCCGATATTGCCATACATACTCAAAATATATGTGCCAAACATGTCAAATCACACTTCATACTAAATTTTTTAAGGATTTTCATAATAATCATTTTCTCGTTTTTATTATAAATTACAAAAAAAAGAGTTAAGATTTCTATTGTTTGTTGATCTTATAGTATTATACATAATTTATACTTTTCTAACTTCTTAATGGTTAACGGTGCAGATATGCACCAGGCTAGATTTTCTATTTAGGATTATTTTTTTCGGCTGATTTTTTTAGAATATCATATTTGAGCATTAATCAATATAATTTGAAATAATTGAGCATTTTTATCCACTAGAAAAATCTTAACCATTAATGGGTTAAAGTTATATTGATTTTATCTATGTTGCTGTGCTGTTATTTACATATTCACTATAGAATTTATATTTTCAATATTTTTTTGTGATAACCGTTTACGACATTTATCACAAATATTGTTCTGCCTCAATGTTTGGATATTGTGTCATCCACGTCATGACTTTACGCAGGTTCTTTTTATAATTAAAGTGTTTAGATTCTTTAAAATACACATTTATATTTATACATTATAAATAATTTTAAGATAAAAAATAATTAATATCAAAATATTAGTAAAATAAAAATGGGCAGGTGCATGAAAACATGCTTTTATCTTTCAACAATTAATTATTATTTTCTTGTATGAGATATCGGAATCTTAACTATCTTTTTAGGAAATTTTATCATTTATTATAAAAACTAATTTTACAAGACGATCTATATAATATTTTTTCCTGATAGTAATGCTTGTAAATCTTATTATTTATGTTTAAAAATGGAAAAAAGTTTAAAAATAATAATTAAAACAAAACACGTTATTTTATAAAGGAGCGCCATCTATTTTTGAAAAAAATTTTTATTTTTGATTTTTTAAATCGTAATAACTAAAAAACCCATGGCTGTCCCAAGTTTAAATTTTTTTATGAATAGATATAAGGTTAGAGAATAAGAAAATATTAAATTCAAAAAAATTTGGAAAGTGAAACACCTGAAATTATATAACTCATATTTTTAAAATCATTATTTTTTAACTTATCTCAATTTCCAAAAATCTTATTTTTCGAAAAAAGCTCATTTTTGGCACTTTTGACCATTGATATCTGGAACTATGAGTACTAGGAAGCTAAAATTTTGGATTCGATGCTTTTAAATGATATTCTCTCAGCATACAAAATTTTATCAAAATTAAAAAGGTCGGGCCAAAAAGTTATCGATTTGGTATGGAATTCGCCAATATTATGGAATATTAATCTATAACAGTTATGAATATTTTTTTATTATATATTTAAATCAAACCTCAAAATAATTTTAATCGGGTTGGGCTGGGACAAAATTTTGTGCTCGGGTTGGGCTCGGACAGGAAAATTATTTTTAAGTCGAGCTTGGGCCACTAAAAGATTGCAGGTTTCGGATATAATTACAGTATAATTTAAATTTTTCAAAAAGGTGATATCATGGATTCCACCACAATTTTAAAAAAATGATTAAATAAATGGGAAATGTTTCATTGATTTCACTTTCATCTTATTAAATATTTTTAGTCATCAGAATTAATAATTTTATAGCCTTAAATATAAAATCTTATCTTTTGAAAATTTTAACATAATTTAAAAATAATAATTGTCATATATAATTAACTCCTGTTTCAAATATTATATTATATAATTTTGTAATAAATAGAAAAATATATTTAGTTTGGTATTTTGGTGGTTTTAGATGAAATAGTTTGTACTTGTAGCAGAAATATGATTACTAAATTGTAGTTTCAAAACTGCATTGTGCCCCTCAAAGGGTTATTGGATGTTTATATTATAAAAGATATTAATATTATTTAAATAGCTTATTATCTTATTAACCTTGGAATATTTAACATTTTCTGAATTATGGCATTTCGGCATACTGTATTAAAATCATAGCCAGGAATTGGTTGGGGGGGGGCTCAAAAGCACTATTGGGTTGTGGGTTTTCCCAATTGGGGGTCTTTAGATCCTCCTATTGTTGACCTTTGACTATTTTTTGTTTTCACTTTTTTATAAAAATACTTATATATAAAAAATTTGGATTGTAGCTATTAGTTAAAAAATTATTAACTTTTACTTATTTCTCTTTAAAATATTCTTTATAGTGATATATTATATACATTTTTGAGAGAGAGGGGGGTAGGAAATGTGCAGAAAGAAATTTTTATTAGCTTAAAAATAATTTTTAAACTCGCCACTCATTTGGTTAAAAAATTTCAAACCCATCCGCTCGGTATGAACAAATATCGCCCATTAAGATAGGCTGGCGTGTTAAGAACCTGCCCATTGCAGACCTTTAATAAGTATACCTATTATGATAATAAATATTTTTTTTAAAACTAGGTGTATTATATTTGATTCCCATTCGTCACTTGTTGCAAATGAGGCCTGTTTTCAATTACCTTGATAAATCGAATAGAAAGGATCCAAGTATTTCATAATTTTATTATAATAATAATATGAGAAATATATAAATTTAATCAACAACATATTTATGGAATGAATTCTTATTTATAAAATCTGATAAACTTTATTTACTTTTTAGGCAAAAATTTAATTAATAAACTTTCGAATTAATGAAAACAAATAAATAAGCTATTTTAAATTTAAAAATATTAACATGTCCAAAAATAACATTGAATTTTAAAATTTGATTTTCAAACTTTTTTATAATGGTTTTGGAATAATATAATTTATTTTCCCAGCATTCATGAATTAATCCGTATTAGATTTAGAAACCTGCAGGAGAAAAAATTTTGATCCTGCATGTGGGATGAAAAACTTATCTGACCTACAAACCCCCAACAAATAAAAATATTGGCCTACTTACACAAAAGTATTCCTATTATCCCATCCTGACTTGAAAATCAAATATAAATTTTTTTTACTTGCAATATCTTATTTTTAAGCTATAGAAAACAAAATTGTAAAATATTTATCGCCGCCTATGGACTAAAATCAGGCTGACGGCTGCCGATTTTCATATTGGCTATGCATAGACACCTTAATTTTGTTTTAGAAAAAATCTATTTTAAATTTTATTAATGATTAAAGAAAGTATAATCAATAATAAATTTTTCAGAGCAGTGCAGCGTTCGAAGGTTTAAATATAATTACAATCGATATCATACAATCTTACTTCATATTTGGAAGTGAAATTGAAAACTATTTAATAGTGAATGATGTCAAAGTTATTACACCTATTACTAGTGTTACGTAATCGGTTATTTTGCCTAAGCCTAATTAGGCTTAGCCTTAAAATCGGTAAAACTAATTAGGCATAGCCGAAAAATTGGCTAAACATAATTAGGCTCATCAAGGAGCTCCTAATCGTCCATCGGTTTCATGTAAGATAAGTATAACCATAATTATTATTTATTTATATTTATTAAAATTATCTTTATATAATTATTTTATTTATATTTATTACTTAACGCTGATGGACGATTAATTAAGTGCCTTAGCCTATGCTAAATTTTTAACTAACTCGGCTAAGCCGTTTTGGAGTCAGCTAAAATTAGTCGATTTTGCCTGCCCTAAAAATTAAATATATTTTTTAACTCAAGCTATATCGTTTTTATACAAGGCGATTTAAATGTTGGCGAAATGGAAGATAACGAGATCGAAATGGGCAAAGCCGAAATAATCAATGTTAAATTCACCAACCTAAATATCCGAAATTTTGGGTTATATAAATTCTTTATATTTTATTTCTTTTTTTACATTCTTTAGACTTGTCTAATTTAAATGGCGAATAATATCAATAGATTCCATGACAAATCGACCATTGATTTAAACGACCATTTTAAAATGGATGAAACTTGGTATGAATGTTAAATAGATTGTATATTTTATATAAATCCAAATTTTAATACCCTAGCTCAAATATATCCCGAGTTATGGGCCTTTAAAGTTCGACGAGAGCCTTTTTCTTCTTTTAACGAATCTCAAAATACTCAAAGATTTTTTTTCTAAAGTAACAAATTATATATCATTTTGTAGCCCTTAAAATTCTACTTAAGAAAATGTAAATAAATAAAAATATCTTTAGTGTCGTATTTCCGGTAAAACAAAAGAAAATTATTTTTAAACGTAGCCCATAAAACGATGAAACTAATGAAATTTGTCAATACATTTACATATTTAAGTAAAAATATCAGTTGTTATAAGATAATTTTTAAATGGATCTAGATACAAATATATTTTAAATAATGTATCTAGATTCCGATACTATTTTTATCATACATATATACAGGGTTCGCCGTTGTTCTCTAACAGAAACCCTTATTATAAGAGCACAAAGCGTAAAACACATTTTTATTTTTTGTTTTCATTCAATTCGAACAGAGTTGTTAAAAGATACTTTTTAAATGGATCTAGATACAGATACATCGTCTAAAAAATTATCTAGATACAGATACAGTTTCTAAAAAGTTATCTTGATACAGATAAAATTTAAAATGTATCTATGTACAGATACATTTTTTATAATACTCTTAGAGTTTGAATAAACCTAAATTAGGATTCTATTATAAAAATTCATGAAATAATCTAAAAAATTTATTGACTCTATATCACATTTATCAAAATATAACTAAAATAGTGATTTTTAGATATTAATATAATATATGATTAATATAAATAATGATTATATATCATTAATAAAATAATATAATATATGATTAAATTATTATAAATAATATTTTAGTAACAACCACTGTCTCTCGGCAAATTATATTTTTTTTGTGGAGCTAATGTTTTGATCATTTTTATAAATGAAGGATTTTCAACAATTGAAAATGGCTGAATGCTATCTATAATAAAATCAGTTATTAAATCATTTAAAGAGGTATGGGTTAAAGTCAGAGATCTCTTGGAAAAAAAATCAATGGACGATGAGCCTAGTCCAATATTTTCTTTAATAGATTTTTTCTCCTTCCCCTTTTTTATTTGGATTAAGAGTGTTTGATGTTTTCTCTTAAAATTTAAAATTTAAATTATAAACATTTATTTAGTATCTATACCCTTAAATGTTTTACAATGTTGCAAGTTGAGGTAATGCTAACTGAAATCTGTATATTTTTTGGTAGACATGGCAAACATTTAACAGAGATTTGTTTTTTTTATTTTGAGATATTATTTTAAAATATGGTCTATAAATTGGCCATGGAAGAATGTCGTCATTTTCGTCATTAATAATATTAATCTTAAAAATTAATATATAGAATAAAATAAAATACCAATTCCATTGCAATTAAAAATGGCAAATTCCTTAAGATGGATTGTAATATCAGAATTTGCTTGTTATTGATAACTCGGACATAATATTTAATTAATATCTATATATTCTTTTTTATATATAAGTTTTCATATTTTACATATATATATATAATTTTTTAATATATATATTAATATTAAGTTATATACTCATATGAAATAAAATAAATTTTACATTCAAGTTTTTTATCTATAATATAAAAAAGCGTTAAATAGAAGTATATCAAAATGTATCTTAAAAAGTATCTAAAAACAGATACAGATACCTCTAAAATAATATCTAGATACAGATACCACATTTTTATATCTAGATACTTTAACAACTCTGAATTCGAACACTAAAAAAATGTCTATACCCCTTATTTTTACCGTTCTCGATCAAATTTCATTTAAAACTAGCATTTATTAAAAAACTTATAATTTATTCATTAAAAGGTAGCGGAATATCTATAAAGTTATTTAAATAAATTTATTTGCTTAAAATAATTTTGTGTATTAATGGTATTGTTTTTAATAATTAATGGGCATCATGGGTAAGCACTTCATAATCTTGAACCGAAATCTATCTATTTAAACGGGAAAAAAAATATTTAATGAATATTTATATATTTTATATATAATTATTATATATTTTTTTTATTATATGGTATTAATAGTTTTTAATATATATATATTTATTTAAATTATATGCTCATATGAAATAAAATGAACTTTGCATTCAAATATTTTTATTTTTAAAATAAAAACGCGTTAAATTATTAATATATATCTTTAAAGTATCTAGATATGGATACCGAAACTTTTTATAATTGTTTATCTAGATATAGATACGACATTTTGGTAAGATACCTTAACAACTCTGTAAAATATTAATATAAATTTTATAGTCTGTTATAATTTTAGGAATAAAAAATAAATTTTAAAATACGTTTGTGTTTATTACCAATATATTTAAATATTTAAGTAAAAATATTAACGGAGAAAATAATATTTTAAATTTTATAAATAAAAAAATCAATTGGCACTATATGAAAATAATTATAATTTATTTTCTTTTTTTTATAAAAAACGTTATTTTAAAAAATTTCTAGTGTATGTAATAATTTTATAGAAATATTAATGGTTATTTATAATAAAAATGCCTATTTTTATTTATAAAATACATTTAATTGATTTTTTATTGAAATTATAAAAAACTATATAAGATTTAAATTTTTATTTTATCCATTAATATTTAAGTATGTTAATAAACTTATTTAGTGTGTTTTATCATTTCATATTAGGCCCTTCTCAAAATAATTATTTTTTGTTTTACAGAAAATACAACGATACTGAAAATATTTTTAAAATAATTTTTGCATTTTCTGAAAAAGAATTTTGAGGGCTAAAAATTGATATTGATATTAAAAATATTATCAGTAATTTGATATTTGTTAAAAGGAAATGGCTCTTATCGAACTTTGAAGGTCCATAACTCTAGATATATTTGAGCTAGAGCATTAAAATTTTTATTAATATAAAATATACAATCTATTTGACCTGCAAAGTTTCATCTATTTAAAAATGGTCTTCCGAATATAATATTATTTTGGTTGATTTGTCATGCAATTACCCCAATCTCTTATCTTAGCAAAGTTATTATCCAAATTTAAGAATTAAATATGCAAACTGATTAGGGTTGTGTAAAATTCTTATGCACCTAATATATTACACATCTATTTAATATTTCTTTCTGTCTAACGCAGTGGTGCTACTAATTCAGGACTTTCCACAAGTCTCACTGGTCAATCAAAAACCAAGATTCTCAACGATACATGGGAAGGATGCGAAATATCGAAGACAAATTTTAAATCTCTTGAACAGCTTGAAAAAATCAAAAGCGAAAAAGCATGGACACAATTAAATTACGTTCCTTATACATCAGAGGTTTAATATATTATTTTGCGTTTGAAACATACAGCTTGGCAAGAGCAAGAAACTTCTTTAAATTTATCAGCACTTTTGTAATTATTCTACGTTATACAGCAATTTTATAGATATTGTAAATTAATTAATTATTTGGATTCAATTTTAATTATGAATGATATTTTTTAAATATGTTTGGTTTGAACATTTTAAATTTTTCCTTTGCAGAATAGTTTTTAATATTAATTAGAGATAAAATGATCTGAGAATAAATTACTTATAGAGTTGCTGGGAAGGAGAATTGGTCATCTTTATATATCTGTATAATTTATTAAAACATCTTTTGTGACCGTGATGTGTACAGAAATGACTTCATGATTCAACAACATTTTTAGAATAATTAAGTATCAAACCATAAAATTATAGAAAATGATATTTCTTAAAATAGTTCATTTACTTTTATATAAATTCTGCAATTATTCTTTTACTAGCTGATAGCCCGTCAATGACGGGGAATCAGAATTTTCTTCGTATCGATAAATAATAAATTTTACCTTCATTTGACGATGGATGAATCAGAATAGTCAAATGAGAAGAATAGATTATCCTTATTCATCTTTCCAAGATTTCTATAAATTTTTAGAAAAAAGGCCAAATATATTATGGAAAATATAAAAAAAAAATATGATTTGTGAGTTATGATATTTATCAATTCTTTTAAGAAATTTTCCACATCCAGACGCAATGGTTTTTTCTCTCTCAATTCGTAACATTCTTCTCAAAGAATCATTTAAATGCTTTTAAAACCTTCCTAAATACTCTTTTAAAAAAACCGTGCCACCATAGATTCGAATCAATTATTGGGGTAAATCTGATCATCTCACAAACACTGTGGGGGTATCCATCCCATTGCAATGGACTATTTAGAAGATTATTATCAAAAATAATTGCCACGGGTCAAAACCCAGGGACTTAACTTATTAAGTATACGTATTAATTAGGATTTGGTGTTAAGGGAGATGGCAAATAGTTTCACATGCCATTTGTATTCCAAAATCTCCTCCTAACTTGGCTATTATCAAAGTAGACTTTAAAAATGCTTTTAATAGCAAATTTCGTGAACATTTCATGAATTGTTTTTATCTCAAATTTCCTGTTTATTCAAAATTCCTAGAGACATATTGTAACATTAAAACTCCTTTATTCAGCCCACATGTCATAGATTCTGATGAAAGGATCCAGCAGGGGGCAAACATCCTCGTTTATTTTACCTTGGTATTCATTATCTCATCCATTATCTTAAATATAAATTTGATTTGGATATAAATATTTAATATCTTGTTGAAACAATCTGTCTCTTTCTAATATAATTGGTTTTTAATGTCTTGAAGCCAATTAAAAGACACATTCTTATTAAGTCCAAATTTGAAATCTCTTTCCATGATAACAATATACAAAACCCTCATTTAGCAAAATTAAATTTTTTATTGAGTACATAAATAATAAAAATTAAAAAAATTAGGAAATTAATATAATTAAAATAAAGTATACAAAGTTGGATTAAGAAAAAAATATTGCGGGATTCAAACCCAAAGCCATCAGATTCGTAAGCGCTGTTCTTGCCGATTAGGCCACAAAAGCTTTTCTAAGTTGACGATTTTTTAAATAAAATATATATTATAATTTGTGGCACTGTGACTGTGACACGGCTTTTATATATATTATTTATTATTATTGTAGATAGATAGATAGATAGATATATAAGATTGTTATATATTATTATGGATGCTTTGTTGAATGAGTGTTTGATATGGTATGATGCTATAAGAATACTATTGGCTGTTACTTTGTGAAATATTTAAAAATATAAGAATACCTATTTGATAGTTTTGATTTTAAAGTAGCAACAAATTTTGAATCGTATGTGAATATATCACACTTAATTATTTTATCTTCTATTTAATTAATTTTGCCAGATTAAGGAAAAAAATTCTTTCTGGGATTCGAACCTATGACCCTCACGTTTGTAAGCGACGCTTTAGCCGATTAGGCCACAGACGCTTATAAAAAATCTTGAATTTTTAAATATATACTCTTTTATAGTAAACTTGTTTAAGTGAAATTAATAAATCGTAAAAGGTAAAAAATTATATTATTAATATTAGTAAATGACTATTGATCATATTTTGACATAATGTTCGGTTAATATAGCCTAGAAAACAATAAAATAAATATTCGAAATTAACAACTTATGTTTTTTACCAAGCGTTATATCTTCCCTTGGACTTATGTCAAGCGGAACTTTGAATTTTTAAAAAATATAAGCAGCAAAATCAGACCCAATATATCAGAAACCTTTCTAAAACATAAAATTTAAATTACTATTTTAAAATACAATTATTCATGTTATGGGGGAACTTGTCCCAAATCCATTTAAATATGTATTTTTTAAATTAGTATATATAAATATATATATATAAAGTATTATAGCACGAAGGTTAATAAGTACCCCTCTTTTTTAAGTTTATTATATATTACTTTTTAAAAAAAAAAATAAAGGGGGAAGGAAGCTTATATTACGTCATTTCTTTATTTTAGCATGTAGAAAAAATGATCCCCTCGATTTCTCAAAACTCCTTAGAAAAGGGTGCCACAAGCAGCGACCATACTAAACCAACATTTATGGGTAAAACTAAATACATGACATCTTTAATTCATAGCCTAGGGAATCATTACCCACAAATAAACCAAGACACCTATCAAACTGGTGCTAAAAAAGCTGTAGGCATGAGAACCGAATGGGAAATACAATTATTTCAATTGTTGAAAAGAGGTTTGTTTTTTAAATTTTTTTCCTTCCATTTTTTTAGGGACTTGAGTTTAAAAAAAGAAAATTTGTTAAATGAAAAAAAAGAATACTAATGAATACATATATGATTGCTTAACTTTTATCCTCACTTTTGGTCATTTTCAAATAAAACGTTTTTGCAAACGGAAATAAGTAAACATTACATATATTTCCAAACTCAGTTTTAAATTTTAAGCTAAGTTATTTTTTTCCCCCGTTTTTAAATTATGACGTATTTGGAAATGGCCTTACATTGCTCTCATGGTCACCTCTATTATAATTGTTTCTACTTTGGCTTCAATTGAGTTAAGATTATATTATTTAATATTAATTTCTAATTTACTTTACTTTCTAAAAATGAGCTAATGCCTTCTCTAATTTTCAAATATTATTTTCTTTTATATTTAGTAAGTTTATGAAATCGGATTTATGAATATAACTAGTGAAACCTCTGAGGTGATTACTGATCCTATCCTCTTCATATTGTTCACTTTTTTTTCTTACCTTAGGTCGGCCTATGGCAAGCTCCTATCAAAATGTACTATCTATTAGACACCTCTATATTCTTTAAATCAGAGATTAGATATCTGCAATGGGCGGGTTTTTAGCCAACAACCCGCCCACTCGTTGTTTTGAAATTTTTTAATCCGCCTCTTAAAAAAGTTTAACGCCCATTTATCTATAAATTTTGTTTAACCCGCCCGCCTTATTTTTAATCACTATTTTAATGACTGGTTTTACTCTTTGTTTATTTTAATGTATTTTTAATTAAACATATATGATATGCAATATTATGAAAAAAATTTTAACCCACCCGCCTAATGTTGAAAATATTTTAGAAAACAGGACCATGCCCGTCCGAAGTATGCCTAGGCGGGTGGGCTAAAAACCCACCCATTGCAGACCTCTACTTTGAATATTAATAAGACTTTTAAACTGTAACATCGTCCATTGACACGTCTGCTTATGTAACTCCCAGACAGACATTACATTCTCTACAATGTAAATCAAAGATAGAAACGTATGTCACCTAACCTTATCCATAAGGTCATTTCTTCCGCTCACATTCCCCGTACTATAGAACTAGTGGGGCTTAACACACCAGATAATAAAAGACCTGGTGGTATAATCACGTTTTGGGCCAAAAGACAGCCCTTGGTTTGTGGATAAACTTGTATTGGCCCATTGCCAGCCAAATCTAATGCCTAAAACATGAGTTGTTAACATTCCTTTTTAAAAGGGGTTAGCTCCCGCCCTTACCATTTAAAAAGGAGCTAGCTCCCGCTCCAAATTAAAAAAAGGAACGCCGACGCTCCTTTGATTTTAATTTTTTTAAATACAAAGTCATATTTTTTTCTATATATTTTATTCAAAGAAAATGGTGCATGAAAAATTTCATGATCTTTTGTTTGCTTTTAACAGTAGCCAATTTTGTAAATTTGAATCTGATAAACAACCATACCTCCCCTAAAACCTATTTAGCAATACTAATGAAGCGCTCAACAGGAGCTCGAGCGGGAACAGGGTTATTATATATTAAATAATATTTTTTAAATTATTAGAATTATTGAATATATTTATTGTAGTATTTGTAAAAAAAAATTTGTCTAATATATTTTCTTCCTGATAATCTATTTAATTGACTCCAAAAAATCTTTTAAATCATAGGAAGGCATTTTTTATGTGATTATAGGTATATTAGGAATTTCTTTCGTTATAAAATTAATCAATTTATTTTTTAGTTCTCTATTATGCTGGTTGAATAATAGCAGCAATAATATTATCACCATTATAAACATTTGAAAATCTGCAAAAAAGTTATCTAAAAGTATATAATTTATTTTTAACAAATTATAAACCTTTTATTAATTCCAGTATAAGATAATCTACAAGAGGTTGGCAAAATTCTAAATCTGCAAAATCTTTTAAAATTTGAAATAAGTCTAGAAATACTTGTAGTTAAAAAACCCATATCCTTATGAAGCTCACCTTCGAGGATTTTCAAGATTTTTGCCAAAGGCTCGATAATCTGAAATTTATATTTTCGAATATTGTATTTACTTGGCTATATTAATAATTTTACGTTTTTGGGAGATAAAGCGAATATCAATTTATAACATAAATGATCAAGATTTTGCAATTTTTCGCTAAATATTTTATCTAACAATATGGATTCATAATATGAATTCCATCTTGTGGTATTTGGGCATATCAAATTTCTCAAAATTAACGGCCATATTTTATTTATTCCCCAAAACTAACTTTTATGAGCTTTGGAATATCATTTTAAAATTTTCTAAAACTTTCTACGCATCAACTCTGGCCACTAAATTAATGTTGTGGCAGGCACATTTTGAATACTGTTGTAGGACATAATTTTCTATTCTGTTAGTCAGGATATCAGTGATATCCACACCTTGAAAATCTTCATCTATTTCAGAACTTTTATCCTCAAGCATTTTAATAAATAAATATAAAGTAATTATAATTTTAAAATGATTAATATAGAATATCCTGAAAGCCTTCACAGAGTGTTTAACATTGTCAGTAATTGTTTTTTAAAAAAAATCTTATTCTGGATATTAAAACTTCTACATATATCAATTATAATTTTGGCAAATACATCAAAAGTGTGCTTACCTTCAACACGTTTTAAGGCTAAGTTGCAAACTTTCGTTGAGATGATTTGAAGTCGATCCAATGAACTGTTGCACCCATTTGTTTCATTAAGATCAATAAGATACACCTCTTTTAGTAGAGAAAAATAGGATGGAAAAGGAATTTTATTTCACCCAATTCAGTATCTTCACAACAACACTATATCGTCTTTCATTTTTATGATTTGAAAAAGAAAATAAAAAAATAAAATAACAAATCGCTTAAAATCTAATATATAGTTAGTTTCATAAATTTAAATAAATATATATTATTTGTATTGTAATTCAATAAAATAAATTTAATATTTAATACAGTTTTTTAAACAATATGCAATAAAATTAAATCCAAGAAAGGAGCTAGTGCTCCTGATTTTTGAAATATAACGATACTCCACGAGTTTTGAAAGAAATATAGCAGCGTTTTTAACAACTCTGTTTAAAACAAATTAATCGTTATAGCCAAGATATCTAATCATAATAATTTTGCTCATCTAAAAAGCCTAATTTTTACCGTTCGAAGAAGAAGTGACTCTTTTTTTAAAGTAGGCAGAAAATCTATCATTGCTGGGACTCAAACGAAAACCTATATCCTAGACACAAAATACCATTAGAAATTTATTTTTCTATTTTTTGCTTTTGGTCCGAACTCTAGCTATTGATATGAATTAACATGATTAATTAATTATGTTTTTTTTCAACAGAATTTGCACGAACCTTTAATTTTTTAATTAAATTAGTTTTTTGTACAAGGTTTCAATTTATTTAAAATAATGAATTTTAAAAAAATATAAGAATTACTCCTTTCCCTTTTACCAAAACCCATCCAGATAGTGGTCACCTTGAGGGTTTATTCAAATGTATAATATTTTTTATACTGTGTTATATGCGCCATTTATAATCCAACTGGGAAATCTTTTGACTTTGTGATTTTAAAAATATTTTTTATTTTATTTATACCCCTTGGATATTTTAGCTCAAGTTATACCCTTCAATCAAATTTGGCGTTATGCTCTTCAAAATTCTGCAAATAGCATCAATACACCCGATCATGGCGATATTTCGCAGTTTAAAAAGGATATAATAAATTATCTCGTCAGTATAGCAGATTTGGTTGCTGGTTCTTGGGTTATTAAAAGGTTTTTTAAATTAAATTTTTTTAAAAGTTAGAAAAATTATTTTCTCTTCATTTTATTATCTTAATATTCGGGAGAAAGATAATTTGGATTTTAGAGAGAGACAATATGTTTATTAGAATGAGACCTAATCGCAGTAAATTTTTTATATTGACTTTTAAAATAGTTATTGCACGTTATATATACATTTATATTAAAATATTTGTTAATATTTAAGCGAAAATAAATTATTAAATAGAGTAAATAAATTTATTAAGGTTTGGGTCAGTATTAAATCCCTACAGATTCAATTTTTTGGCCCCAGTCCAGTTTGAATTTTTTATTTTATTTTGAGCCTGATCCGAATTTTATTTTTAGATTCTAATTTTTAATTGCAAAATATATATTCAACACATTTTAACTCGGGGGGTTATGGGGTTATGACTATCAAAAATTATTCAATTTAATTTGAAATTTGTAAACGAATAATAAATGATTCTTAAAATTTAGTAAATATTTGAATTATTTGTTAATTTTAGATTATCTCTGTAATATTTAGTAATTAAATTTTTTTTAAATCAAGTCACTCTAATCAAATATTTTATTGTGATAGTGATTGTTTGAAATTTCCTAAAACCAAATTATAAAACAAAAATTGTAAGTAAGCACTCATTAAAGAGGAAATGATAGCGCTTTTTAAATATTGTGAGCCTAGTTTTATAGATATTTAAAAATCGATATCTAAAAAAAGTGACAATTAGGAAAGCCTTATGCCTTTTTAATATTATAAATTTGACATGTAATTAGTTAATTGAAACTTATACTTTATTATTATCAATTTTTTATAGGCTTAGGTGGGGTAAATACCCGACGCTTTTTTAAATATGTAGATATTTTAGCCTGGTTTTTATTAGTTTTCGCTAAGCTAAAGTAAATGTTTGCAAAATTATTATGCACTATTTATGAGTTAGTGGTAGATCTGTGTGCGATGAAAGGTGCCTTGAATTAGAAGACAATCAATTGATAAAGAAAACCCTGTTTTCCGATATATGACTGTTCCTATTCATTCATATTAGAATCAAAATTTGTATTTGTCATTGAATGTTTATTTGCCAATTTTGTTAGATTACTTTTATTTAAACCCCCCCCCCCATCTCCTCCGTCTTTCATTCTCTTACTAATTGAATATATCTTTCTCGAGAAAATTAAGATATTTTATAATAAATTCAGTCGACATTCAATTTTGTTATGTAACATATTTTGATACTATGCTTAATTTTTGAAATCTGGGATGTAATAAAAAAGCAACTCCTAGTTAATTTAAGTAACAAAAAAGTTTCTTCTCCGTTTAATGGGATCAGGTTGGGCAGTTGATTTTTCTTTTCCATTTTTACCGGTTCTGAGCATCAATATTTGTAAGATTCATTTTTCACATACTTGGGCCTTCCTCTAGGTCTTGGTCATCCTACTTTACCCAGTCATCTTTTGTCTTACGTTCCACATGCCCAAACCATGTAAATTAAAAAAGTATTTTTAATTTACGTAACTAATGGGGGGGAATCCCCCCCCATCGCAAATTTGACATTTTTCATAAATATCATTTTAAGCTAATAAAAATTTTACCCCCCCCCCCCCTTAAATCAAAATTTTACAAATATTTGAATATCAATTTTCCAACATTATTCAAAAATATTAATAAAGTGGAAAAATATTTAGTCAAAGAGATTGAAATCAGATAATAATTTATTTTATTATTATATATATTTATTCTATTAAATTCAAAATTATTAGTGAGTTAGAATTAATAAGTATTTTTTATAATATTTTAATTATTAATAAATATCTATAATTTTTTAAATATTTTTCATTTTTACTTCCATTTTGTAGAACAGAAGAAATAGAAATACAAAAGTTAAATAAGGCTGAGCATGAAAAAAAGTAATATGTCGTCAGAAGTGATATCATTATTGAATTCAATTGATCAATCAGAGTTTTGCTGCTAGTTGCATCAATAAATTATTTTTAGCTCACTACTTTGTAGAAATTTACAAAAACCAAATTTAGATTTGGTTCAGGTTATTGATTTGGCGGAAAATATCTATGAACAGGTAGATACAATAAGAATGAATGTAGATAATTATTTTCATAATATTTATCTAGACGTTGGATCGAAGGCTAAATTTTATGATATAACACTAATTAAACTTCGTCTAGCACCTAGGCCATTATTGAGATGTAAAATAAATATTGGCTCAACTGAAGAATATTATAAAATATCCATTTTCATCCCATTCTTAGATACTCTTTTGTCGCAAATAAAAGTACGGTTTTTAGATAAAAAACAAGTCTTTAGCAATCTTCAAGTTTTATTACCTAAAGATCCTTCTTCGTTTTCTAATGCCACTATTGGTAAAATTAAATATTTAGCAAAATTTTATTCCTATGAGATTGATACTGAAATAAATTTAATCAGTGAATTCGAATTGTGGTATAAATATTTACTACGTTTAGCTATTTTACCTGAGCATGCTATTGATGCGCTCAATTGGTGTAAAGAAACCTTGGCTCAATTTCCTAATATTTTGAAGTTGTTTTATATTCTTGCATGTTTGCCTATTACAACATGTACGAATGAAAGGACTTTTTCTAACTTGAGAAGGTTGAAAACATATTTACGAAGTACTGAATCTCGGCTAAATGGGTTAGCTCTGTTAAATATCCACAGAGATTTGGTTCCAACGACAAACGAAATTCTTGATGAATTTGCAACATTCCCACGAAAATTAAAAATCACATTATAATTATAGAAAATATTTTGTTTAATATTGTATTTGATAAGAAGTTTAAAAAAACTTGTTAATTTAATTATTTTCTAGTCAATATTATTTTCAATAAAAAAATTATATTCTACTTATATTGTATGAGAATTTAAGCTGAGGCTAGTTTTTAAAGCAAATTTTATAAAAAAAATGACATTACACTTTATTTCAACTTTACATTTAAAAAAACTTTATTAAATATAATATACCAACTTGAAATAATATAAATAGGCTTGTAATATCCATAAGCACGAATTAGTAAATAATAGTTAAAAATAGAAATATAATTATGAATAATTTAATAGAATAGCTAAAACATAAGACCCGGCCGAAGGCCGCGGGAAAGCTGGTCGAAGGCCAGGTAAAAGGGGTTTGGGGGCGAAGCCCCCAAAAAAAGCCCCCCCCCCACCCCTATAAGAAAATCCTGGATACGCCACTGTCAGTAGGGCTATTTTTTTATTAAATTTACCACTATAAGATTTAGTTTTTATCTCAAATTTTTATTCCTATAATAAAAAAAGCGAATACATCTTTCCTTGCCCTGATGAAGATACTAACTCTGAGTCCAGTACGGAAACTTTAGATCATATATCTCACACACTTAAAACAGATATTAAACCACACATATCGTTGCTTAACAAACAACTCAAAAGTTCTAAGAGACTTAATAATTCAAATGTAATTTCAGACCCTCCTTGGGATACCTTCAAGATACTGAGACAATGCCGGGATTTTATACTTTTTTTATTTGATTTATCGATTCAAAACACATCAACTACTAATAAAAAGGGGTTAAAACAACTTATAAATAAAAAATGCGAAATATATTTTACATAAGGCCCTTGTTTTAATTCCCAAGTTTTCTCATTATTACTAGATATTATGAGAATTTATATACAAAATAGATAATGATAAAAAATTTATTATTTAAAGATTTGAGTTATATTATTTTAAAGTAAATTTAATATAAATCAATTAAACATGCTTATATTATTAGCATTGTATTTCCATATAAAATCTAATTAAATTGATAAAATTTTATCTGTATTGATTATGCAATTTTATTTAAAATGATTGATAGGTGGTACTTTTGTTATCCCTGAAATATTTTTTGAGTTTAGTTTTATTTATCAACATTAAAAAATATAAATTAATAAAAGTAAAAATACCAAAAATTCACACCATTTATAATGGATGAAAGCGACGAAATATCATAACTACCATCTAAAAATTTCAAGGATGTAAAAACAAAGAAGGAGTAGTCTTAAATTGTATGCTTTTACTAATTATTAAATTATATTAGTACTTCTAAAAATGGGTAAGTGGATAGCTATTTGCCATTAATTTTAATACAAATCCTACCCAATCCATATCTCTAGCCTCTAACTTCACCTAATAGGTTGGTTTCAGAAAAATATAGGGTCGAATAAAAGAAGAAGAAAAAAAATAATGGTTTAATTGCTACCACTTCCTAAAAATAATATTTAATTGTTTAAATCGTTACATTAATCCTATTTTGGTATATTTTTAGCGATGTCTACTGTTGTATGTATTTTAACAATTTTTGCTATAGAACTTTGAGATTTCATCTCAAAAGTTGTTAATAAAAATAAATATTTATACATTTTTTAGTTATTTTGCTACCAGAAATGATGATTCGAACTGCGAAATAGTAATTACAAGGCAAAAATTAAACCACTTTCTTAATATACGGAGTGAAGATGTGCAAGGCATATTAAAGGGTGTGGCGCTATTAAAGTTTAATTTTCTTTTTTAATGAAAATTGATTTTTTCCTAAAAAACTTGATAACAAATGTTTTAAAATTTGATATAAGTATTGGAAAATTTTATAAAGAGGCTGTAAAACCTCCGATAGTGACCGCCTCATCGTACTGATAATATTGAAAAAGAAAGAATGCAAATAACAAAAAGAGACCCGTATTTAAATGATAATCAAATATTTAATATATTATTTAACCACCAATTTTTTTTTCTGTTACCTTTCTTTCTCTTAGACCCAAAATAGGTTGGGTGTTTAAATTCGATCGAGATACTGAATTCATTAACTCAACTTTAGACACCGATACTTTACGCCGGTTTGAGATACTTAAAACGCTTAGAAAAACCCAAATTTATAAAAATATCTCTTCGCACTTATCAAATTCCTTTAAATCAACGAATCATAATGTATCCTTGAACGATCATATGTTAAGAGAATTTTTTGATCCACAAAATTTAGAACCTTTTCAGAAAAAAATAGACGAAATAACAAGTTACGACTCTCCTAACAAACCTATGCCAGTCGATAACCAAAATATCACAATAATAAATGCAGTTAATGGCACTGAAAATTGCGAAAATGATAATGATGAAATAGTTTTAGATTTGAAAAAAGAATCGGTTAAAAAGGAAGAATATTTTATTGTAAATTCAGAAGATAATTATTTTCGCGGGAAGAAAAAAGACAATAAGGTTTCGCCTAAAAAGAAATCGCGAGGAAAACGTTAAATATTGCTCTACCTTTTACGTTAATTAATTTTAGGTTTATATGGAATTTTAAAAAATCCAAACTTAATACACATTAAAACAATTGCTATTAGTGCTAAGGATTTCAATTTAGGCGCTCTAAAAAAAGGCTAAGCCAAAAAATATTACCTAAACCTTTATTATATTTTGCCTATAGATGATAAAAAGGTGTGGCCCTTTTTAGACCATATAAATTAAAATTGTTTCTAATAGCCATGAAGGCATATAACTATTTTATTTGCTTATGGGAGGAATCGTTTTTATAATATTATTCTTATATCTGGATTATAAAATTTTCTAATCACGATAAATTGTAGATAAGTATATATTCGTTATATCAATCGCATTTGTAATGTAATGAATTATAATTATGTAAATTGAATCTTATTTATAATTTTACGCGAATTTTATGCCATATTATTGTTTCATTGTAATAAAAAAAATCGTTAGTGTCTTGCAGAATAATTTAATATTACCGCTCTTTTCCTAATATAGTGTTAATGAATTTGAAGATATTAAAAAAAAATTTGACCTCAATTTATTCAAATCTCTAAAGGTTAGTTGGCTAACCTTCGGAAACTTCATTTTAAATCATTTACCGAGGGCGATTTTTAAATTTAATATAAATTAAAAGTAATTTAATAGTTTCTGGTAAAATTGATTATATGAAGTTATTAGAATAGGTATACTCTACACATGTTGGATTACATTTCCTGACATTTTTCAAATTTAAAAATCATCCTCGGTAAATTATTTAAAATTGATATTCAAATCCCCAAAACTTTATACATTATATTAGAGGTCTGCAATAGAGGGGTTTCAACCCACTCGCCCATTTATTAAAAAATTTAGTTAAACCGCCCACCCAATTTTTTAAAATTCTTTTATTTGTTGATTTGGCTCATTTATTTTAATGTATTTATACTTAAACTTATAAAATATGCAATATTGTGAAATAAAAAAACTAATTTTTAATAAATAGAAGTCTGTTCTGCTCATTTTGCCCGACAAATATTTCAAATTCACTGGCCCATTATTTTTTGACCCGTCCAATGTTTAAAATATTTTAGAATTCTTGCCCACGCACGTAAAAACGTGCCCATTGCAGACTTTATATAATGTAGACAAGCAGATGTCATAATTTTAGTCCCAGCCTGGATTTGAAAAAAATAGTCTGATAAAAATAATTTATTTATTAACTCGGCCCAAAAACATGGTGGGTGATTCCATATCAAATCAATCACTTTACAACCCGACCATCTAAGATTTTGCTTAAATATATAAGTTAATGAAGTGTTGTAATTGACGAATCCAAAATATTAGCCCCTTAACTCTACTAGAACCGGAGATATAGGGTCTCAAAATAGCTCTGCTAGGTCATTTTTCGAAAAAAATAATTTTTTAAAATTGGGATAACTTTATTATTAAATGTAGTATATTTATCTATCACATTTTATAGGCCTAAGTAAACTCTTCCACATATTTTAAATGGAATTAATTTTGAATTTATAAATTTTTTTTAAATTGCGATCAAAAATTTGTAATTAATTTTTTTAAATGTTAGTATAAATTTTTTTCCAATTTTCAGATATTTTGTAAAGAGTATCAAGAACTGTTCATATAAAAATTTTCAGAGTGGTAAAAAAAGAATTAAGTAGAAAAAATCCAAAAAAAAAACCGCTAGATGGCGTTAATAATTTTAAATTGCCTAAAATTTAATTTTTGAAAATATAAGTCAATCTACCTTTTATTTAAATCCTATAATATAATATTTATTGAATAAAATCGCATTTTGGCGCAAAAATAAAATTCCCGCTAGATAGCGCAAGTATTCTAAAATAGATAAATATGATTTAAATTAATTATCTATATTACAAAGTTAATGATTCATTGAATCATATAAGTTATGTTGCCATAGAGTCGCTGGAACATAATACATGATTATTTCAAAAAAAATTACTTTTTATCAGAGTCTAAATACATTTATTATTATTCCAATGGGTCCACGGCCCAATATAAAAACAGGAAAAATTTCATAAACTTGTGTTATCATCAGGTAGACTTCGTTATCTCAGCATAATGGCATTTCTTTGCTACTGCGCATGGGAAAAGTGCCTGCGATGGAATAGGGGGAACTGTGAAACGCTTGACTGCACGGGCCAGCTTACAACGACCTTATGAAAATCAAATAAAATCTCCTTGCAATATCTTTAAATTCGCTGAGGAAAATATAAAAAATATTCATTTTTCTTATACATCCCATGAAGAATACCAAGAGGAGAAAGAATTTTTAAAAGATTGGTTTTCAAAAGCTCTTTCCATTCCTGGAACTCAAAAAATTCATTCAGTTTATCCTGTTAGCTTATCACAAATAATTACGAAAAAATATTCCAGTGCTATATTCAAAATCGAATAGGCGAGGTATCAACCAATGATATAAAAGGGTATGTTACATGCTTTTATGATGATGAATGGTGGGTGGCTTATATATACTAGCCATTATTAGTCCTGAGGAGGTAAAGGTTATAATACACCCTAATGGAAAATCTAATTCCTTTTATCATCCATCGATACCCGATATTCTTATTCTTCCGAAAATGATATTCTAACTGTTGTCCAACTTTTGACCACTACAGGAAGAACTTATAATCTAACTTGTGAAGAATCCGAAATGGCTGTAAAGAAATTAAATTTATGGAAATCAATACCAAGCTTCTATACTATAAGTAATTTTACTATGAATTAAATTAATAAATATTAAAGAATAAATAAAAATATCTACTGACATATTTCACAAAAATGAGGTTTTTATCTATTTTAGAATACTTGCGCTATCTAGCGGAAATTTATTTTTGTGCTAAAATGCGATTTTATTCAACAAATATTATATTATAGGATATAAATAAAAGGTATATTGACTTATATTTTCAAAAATTAAATTTTAAGCTATTTAAAATTATTAACGCCATCTAGCGGTTTTTTTATTTTTTGGATTTTTTCTACTTAATTCTTTTTTTTACCACTTTTATATGAACAGTTCTTGATACTCTTTATAAAATATCTGAAAATTGGAAAAAAAATTTACACTAACATTTAAAAAAATGAATTACAAATTTTTGACCGCAATTTTAAAAAAATTTATAAATTAAAAATTAATTCCATTTAAAATATGTGGAAGAGTTTACTTAGGGCTATAAAATGAGCCATGATAGATAAATAAGTTATCCCAATTTTAAAAAATCATTTTTTTCAAAAAATGGCCTCGCAGAGCTACTTTGAGACCCTATATCTCCGGTTCTAGTAGTTAAGGGGCTAATATTTTGGATTCGTCAATTACAACACTTCATTAACATATATACCAAATTTCAGCAAAATCTGAGATGGTCGGGTTGTATAGTAATTGATTTGATATGGAATGACCCTGGTCTAAATTAAATAATCTGGATTGTTGACTTATAATTGTGTCTTAACCTATTCAACAATACTATATTCTTATCACTTATAATTTACCTCATGGCCAAACCAATTTTGTAGACTATTCAACATAATTTTTATTTTCAGCGTCAATTTTTAATTTAATAAATTTGTCCCATAAATATTATAAATGACTTCAATTTTATACTAAAATTAAATAAAAGCAAATATTACATATTTTTACATTTAATTTATAACAATCGGGAATAAATTGTGTAGAATGAAATAAATAATTAGTAGGAATAAAAAAATATGGGAAAGGCCTTGATAAAATAAAATCGATAAATTTTAATCAAAAAAGTTAATCAGGTGAAGTGTTGCCACCAAATAACATAATAAAAATTTTCCAGTATTCAATCACTATCATTAATTTGATAAAACCTGTAATTATTAATGTAGGCTAATTTCGACTTTCAAATAAGTATAAAAAAAAATATGATATATTAGTAATGATGATAAACGCCAAGGGGTGATGAATAGACAAAATTATAATAAAATTGTCAACATCATTAAATATTTATGCAATTTTTCAATCAGCCGGCAATCCACAAACTTCGCAAGCATCTCTACTCAAGCGTTCATTAACGAAAGTACAATGATTGCAGGTCCATTTTTTATGGGTATTGCTGTTATTACCTTTTAAACTAATTATATGATTTATTTGAAAATTTAAATGTGAAAAATAAAAGTTATCATTAATATAAATCTTTTAGACCAAAAAATTGGTTCAAATTACAATGATATACGAAATAAATTTTACTTTGGAGGAATATTCTGAGCCAAGGATGTTGTATTGTTTATGTTGGTGGATTGAGAATTAGCAGGAATGGGTGAAGCTTTATTGTGAGAATGAAATAGAAAATTTTCGCTGAATGGTTGTGCTACTCTAGTAAGATTTGGATGATTTGTATTACTAGTGGACGGATGGGAAGGCAATTGTAAGGTTGGCCCTGTTTATATATATATATAATCAAATAGATTAATGTTAATCTATCTTAATCCTATTCAAAGCCCATTTTTAACTTAATATCTATTTAATTTAATTATTTAAAAAAAAATATTATCAAAAAGTATTGCTATAATGCGAATTTTTAGTTTACGAATTATTTAAATAGTTTTTGAGAGTTTTTTATAAAATTTATTTTTTCAAATATGATTTTACCAGATTTAAGAAATAATATCGCCTAAAAATTCAAGGGCGAATAAAAAAATAATTTTCAATATATTTAGGTGTTTTTGGAAATTTTTCATAAACGTCAAATTTTTTGTTTTCCAGCTTCTTAATTCAAAATTAAAGTTTTTATGCAGTATAATAGTTTAATGTGCAATATATTGTATTGCTCGTTAAACTATTATTATTTAAACTTCAATTCCATAATTGAAGGACTTAAAAAAATTAATTTAATGTTATTTGAATAATTTAAACCCAAAAATTCACATTTAAAAATAAAAAATGATTTTTAAATAAAAACTAAGCTGTTTTTTCTGTATTCCCAGCCCTATTTGCAAGGAGAAGCTGCAACTGACAATATATAGCCAATCTTACATTATAAGATTTATAGGGTGTTTTAATAATAAGTATCAAAACTGATTTTTTTTTAGGTGGAAAGAAAATTAACAAGCCCAATTAATTTTGCAAAAGGAACATCTTGTATAAATTTTCAAATTTTATCGGGTAGGAAGAAATATGGAAAACCGAATATATAATTATTTTTAGACTTGCCTGTTACGGCCTGCAATTATTAATTTATATATTTCGATGCGTGTTAAAAAATTAAAATAGAAAATAAAATCTAGTTTGAAAATTTTTTATAGTCTTAATAATTTAAGTAAATAAAATAATAATATTGATTTTTAAAACATTTGGATTATTTAAACTGCCAACTAGTGTAATCGGCTAATTTTAGCCGACTACAAAACGACTTAGCCGAGATTTTAGGTGGAAAAATCGGCTAAGCCTAATTAGGTAAAGCCTAAAAATCGGTTAAACCTAATTAGGCTAAGCCTAAAAATTGGCTAAAATAAATTAGTCAAAATTCTGCATTAACATTAATTATTATTTATTTATTTTAGTAAAATAATTTATTTTATTTATATTTAATGTAAATATTTTATTATTATCAACAAATAAACATGATATGATTTAATATTTTTTATTTATATTATTATATTTTGAAATGAAAATATATTTATTTATTTAATGTTTTTTTAATAAAAAAAATAATATGCTGCTATATTGTAAAAATGTAATATTCTTTTTAATAATTTATTAGTGATTTTCACAATCTTCTTTGTAAATGCATCTTTTATTGAGGAATTATATTGTGAATTTTATTAGATAAATAAACAATCTTTTAGGTGAAATCTTTTATCATTTTTTTAAAATTATCTATTTATTATTAAATGAGGTGGATTTTATGAAACTTTTTTGATGTTATTTTATATGATCTTTTAAGGATAATATTTCAATGTGACAATTGTCATAATCGTTCTTTTATAAGTTTTTTGAATTTTTTTAATGAAAATTTGTTAAAATAAGTATTAATAACATGTGTAAATATAAATTTAGTGAAGATGTACCATAGAAAAGTCACAATTGTCATAATCGTTATTTTTCAAGTTTTTTGAATTTTTTTGACGAAAATATGTTAAAATAAGTATTAATAACATGTGTAAATATAAATTTACTGAAGATGTACCAATGAAATATGACAATTGTCATAATAGTTATTTTTAAAGTTTTTTGAATTTTTTTAAAGAAAATATGTTAAAATAAGTATTAAAAACATGTTTAAATAAAAATTTAGTGAAGATGTACCAAAAGTGACAATTGTCATAATCGTTATTTTTAAAGTTTTTTGACGAAAATATGTTAAAATAAGTATTAATAACATGTGTAAATATAAATTTAGTGAAGATGTACCAATGAAAAGTGACAATTGTCATAATCGTTATTTTTGAAGTTTTTTGACGAAAATATGTTAAATTAAGTATTAATAACAAGTGTAAATATAAATTTAATGAAGATGTACCAATGAAAAGTGACATTTGTCATAATCGTTATTTTTAAAGTTTTTTGAAGAAAATACATGTTAAAATAAAAATTTAGTGAAGATGTACCATAGAAAAGTGACAATTGTCATAATCGTTATTTTTAAAGTTTTTTGACGAAAATATGTTAAAATAAGTATTAATAACATGTGTAAATATAAGTTTAGTGAAGATGTATCAATGAAAAGTGACATTTGTCATAATCGTTAATTTTAAAGTTTTTTGAATTTTTTTAACGAAAATTTGTTAAAATAAGTATTAATAACATGTGTAAATATAAATTTAGTGAAGATGTACCATAGAAAAGTGACAATTGTCATAATCGTTATTTTTCAATTTTTTTGAATTTTTTTGACGAAAATATGTTAAAATAAGTATTAATAACATGTGTAAATATAAATTTACTGAAGTTGTACCAATGAAAAGTGACAATTGTCATAATAGTTATTTTTAAAGTTTTTTGAAGAAAATATGTTAATATAAGTATTAAAAACATGTTTAAATAAAAATTTAGTGAAGATGTACCAAAAGTGACAATTGTCATAATCGTTATTTTTAAAGTTTTTTGAATTTTTTTGACGAAAATATGTTAAAATAAGTATTAATAACATGTGTAAATATAAATTTAGTGAAGATGTACCAATGAAAAGTGACAATTATCATAATTGTTATTTTTGATATTTTTTGACTAAATAAGTATTAATAACATGTGTAAATATAAATTTAGTGAAGATGTACCAATGAAAAGTGACATTTGTCATAATCGTTCTTTTTAAAGTTTTTTGAAATTTTATTGACAAAGATATTTTAAAATAAGTATTGATAACACGTTTAAATAAAAATTTAGTGAAGATGTACTCTAGATAAGCGACAATTGTCATAATCGTTATTTTAAAAGTTTTTTGATTTTTTGACGAAAATAGTTAACTTGCATTCATATTGATTTTAAAATAGAAAAAAATGTTTACCCAAATTTTAAACAAGATTGTCTGGTGAAAATTGGTAAAAAAAAAATAATTTCTAAATTAGGATTAGATATTATGATATTAATTTTGCATATTAATTTCCGACCCGATGAACGGATGTAATAAAATGCCAATTTGCTCCTGTTTTTGGGGAAGAATCTATTATTACCATATGTTTTTTCTATGGCATATACTCAGGCAATTTTAATTTTACAATCTATATTTTTACCCATTTACATCAAAGAAATTTTAAAAATAACGATTATGACAATTGTCACTTTTCTATGGTACATCTTCACTAAATTTTTATTTAAACATGTTATTATTACTCTTAACATATTTTCGTCAACATCAAAAAACTTATAAAATAATGATTATGACAATTGTCGCTTATCAAGGGTACATCATCACTAAATTTTTATTTAAACATGTTATCTATACTTATTTTAAAATATTTTCGTCAAAAAAATTCAAAAAACTTTAAGAATAACGATTATGACAATTGTCACTTTTCATTGGTACATCTCCACTAAATTTATATTCACACAATACTTATTTTAACATATTTTCGTCAAAAAAATTCAAAAAACTTTAAAAATAACGATTATGACAATTGTCACTTTTCTATGGTACATCTTCACTAAATTTATATTTACACATGTTATTAATACTTATTTTAACAAATTTTCGTCAAAAAAAATAAAAAACTTTAAAATTAACGATTATGACAATTGTCACTTTTCATTTATACATCTTCACTAAATTTATATCTACACATGTTATTAATACTTATTTTAACATATTTTCGTCAAAAAAATTCAAAAAACTTTAAAAATAACGATTATGACAATTGTCACTTTTTATTGGTACATCTTCACTAAATTTATATTTACACATGTTATTAATACTTATTTTAACATACTTTCTTCAAAAAAATTCAAAAAACTTATAAAAGAACGATTATGACAATTGTCACATTAAAATATTATCCTTAAAAAGATCATACAAAATAACATCAAAAAAGTTTCATAAAATCCACCTCATTTAATAATAAATAGATAATTTTAAAAAAATGATAAAAGATTTCACCTAAAAGATTGTTTATTTATCTAATAAAATTTACAATATAATTCCTCAATAAAAGATTGTGAAAATCACTAATAAATTATAATAAAAAGAATATTACAATTTTACAATATAGCAGCATATTATTTTTTTTATTGAAAAAACATCAAATAAATAAATTTATTTTCATTTCAAAATATAATAATATAAATAAAAAATATTAAATCATATCATGTTTATTTGTTGATAATAATAAAATATTTGCATTAAATATAAATAAAATAAATAAATAATAATTAATACTAAGCATCGATGCAGAATTTTGACTAATTTAATTTTAGCAGATTTATATAGGCTTAGCCGATTTTTAGGCTTAGCCTAATTAGGTTTAGCCGATTTTTAGGCTTAGCCTTATTAAGCTTAGGCGTAGTTTTTAGCCGATTACGCAACACTACTGCCAACCCTATTTCCAAAAAATAGAAATTTTTAAGTAACCTTCCATTTCAATCAATTTTTGAAGGGTTAGCCAATTATCCAAATTGCACCACTCTTCAAACATAGCTAGATCTTTGTTTTTAAGCGCTAATAACAGTTTATCCATATCATTCTATAAATTAAAATATTTTTAAAATATTATATAGTAAAACTAACCTTCCTTTTTTTGTTGATATAAAAGTCTTTTTTTATTATTAAATGACTAATTAATTTAAATTTTACCATAACATAGATATTTCTTAATTATGGATATATTGCTTTATAAAATATGATAAATAAATTTTAAAAATATTTCATCCAAAATAATTAGGATCACACAATCGTATAGATTTCGATAATTGATCCTCTAGTCGTTCCGCCAGCTTCAAAATTCACACTCTTCTTATTTTGCTGATGACTCACTTCCGATTAATTTTTGACAACAATCTGTTTAAAGAATACAGAGGATCAAATAAAGCACTAAATAATTGCCAAAACGGGAAAATGATTGCATTCATTTTAAGTTTTAGCAAAGTGTCAAAAATTTCTTATTTTGCTTAACTCAGTAAGAGTTAATTCCGCCGGTGTCCAGGTTGGAGAACAATTAAAGGGCTATTCAGTTGTATAAATTTAGAATTTGATCCTTCAAGTCATTCCGACAACTTTTCGCTTTTTTACAAGTTTAAAATGCTATAACTCAGTAACGGTTAGTGTAACCGAATTCGGTTTGGAGAATATTAAGGCGAATCTTATTTTTGTTATAATCGATTTTTGTGAAAACTGAGGATCAATTAAGGCACTACCTATTTGCCCGAACTAGAAAAGATTGCTTTATTTTAGATTTTGACAAAGTGCTAACACCTTTCTATTTTGCTTATAACTTATGAACGGTTAATTTTACCGGTATATGGTTTAATGATTCTAAGGACGAGTTACACAAGGCATGAGTTTCAGAATTTGATTCACACTTTTTTCAAGTCATTTCGCCAACTTCAATCTTTTAAATAGATGCATCTCCGTAATGGTTAGTGCTACAGGTATCCGGTTTGGAGAATATTAAATCACAAATTTAGTATTAAATAATGGACAAGTTTCAGAATATGATCTCTCTTATTTTCGGTTTTGGAAAAGTGCCAAACGTTTTACTTGTAATTCACTAACGGTTAATTTTGCTGGTGTCCTGAATATCAATTAGGATAAATTAACAGAATAATGGTAAAAGTTTTGGTAATATATCTTCGAGCTTTCCGTCAGCTTCAGAATTCCACACTTCCCTTATTTTGCTTATAACTCAGTAAGATTTGATTTCGCCGGTGTCAAGTTTGAAGATCAATTAAGACTCTATATATTGGCATAAGTTTGGGAATTTGATCCTCAAGTCGTTCCGCCAACTTCACGGACCTTGTAAAAAGAATTTGATTATTTTTTAAAATTTACATATAGAGTAAAAAAAATATATTTTGCACTTCTAGATAAATTTTATTTTAGTAAATCTGTGATAATAATATTAGGTGAGTACCTAGCTATATCGCCATATTAAAACATAATATTTTTTCTTTAAAAAATATTAGAAAGTGGGTATTATGGTTATATTATCATCCTAAAATAAAAAAATTATAAGAACAATTGCTCTTTTTTTAAGATAACGGTCCATTAGAAGGTTCATTATACAGGGAGACTATAAAGTGTTGGTGACATTAATGAGATAGCCATTATAACGAAATCCTGGAAATCTCATTGTAACTTTAAAATATCAAAAAACATGCCCCTTCTTCTCGTAAAAATTTTTTCAGAAAATATATAAAATATTTCTTTATTATGGCTTGAGAGCGACCCACTTACCGAATATATAGCAAACATGATATAAGCAAAAAAGAAAAGGGGGAATCTATGAATGTATTTTCTAAACTAAAAGGAAAATTACTCTCATGGGCAAAATATCCATATTAGCCAAAAATATGAGTAAATGAAAATCGTTTAGGCTTTTCATGAGCTTCGTTTTGTCGTTCAAGTAAGGCTTGACATGGTGCGCGAACGAATAGAATGTCTAAATTTCAATTATGAAAAAACATTAAAAAAAATACTTTAATTACGTTGCTTTATTCTTTCCCCATTTCCACTTTTTCATAGGTAATGGGAAAAATAACCTGTAGAAAAAAACTAGACCGCTTCCAGAAATAAAGTCTACGGAGAAAAAAACCTTAATGAAAAGAAAAATGACGGAAAAAAATCTGCGCTAAATAAAAAAAACGATTATTATTAAAGAGAATATATATAATTAATCATGAAACAAAAAATATTTTCATTTTTGGTTAAATTTTATTGTTTTTAAATATTTAAAAAATTTTTTTTATCTATCATTATTATAAATGAATAAATTTTAAACTAAATCGAATAAGTTAGAGAAAACATTTTTAAGGTGACTATTTGTTGATAAATTTTAATTGGATATTATATCAGAAAAAAAGTAGGACACCCACATCCGCAGGGAGGGGGGGGGTGTTAATTTTTTTGCGTTTTTATAAAAGAATGCAGTGTATCATAGAGAAATATAAATAATTAGTAAATGACTAAATTAGGGATATCAATTTCTCGAAAAGCTATAATTAGGTAAATTTGGAGAAAACATGGGAAATAAAAAAACTATTTCCTTCTATAAAATATTTTATAGATAAATATTGATTTTTTTTCATGTTTAGAAAACATTAACATATTATTTAAACAAGTATGATATAATTTCATTAAATTTGTTCGTTATCTTCGTTTGAAAATGAAAATAATTCCAGGTCAGAGATAAAACATTTAGAATCGAGCAATTTTCATTTAGCCCATAAGCTAGAGATTTGCTCCTATAAAAAGCAATTTCATTACCTTATCAATTTTTAACCTATTTCGAGATTTCGAAGAATATTTCCATATGAGGACCATTAATTTTTTCGATATTGATTTGATTGAAAAAATAAACCTAATAAAATATTGAATATTATCAACATAATTTTTTATTAAAGTGAGGTTGTTACTAAACTAAAAGGTATTTAGCCTTTCCACCGAGTCAGTGAATTTGTAATGTGTATAGCGTATACTTTTTTTTTTAAAAAAACCTTCATTATCAAGAAGAGTAAGTCTCTTATCTCTATCAATAAAAATATAAAGTATTGTCATTTCCAGATTTGTTAAAGTAGCGCGCTATCTTTTTTGGTAGTTATAGCTAGTAGCGGTTACTTTTTTTGTAATTATTTATTTTTTTAGCGCGCTACTTAGCTACTTTTAAAAAATATAATGATGATAAGTATAAATATGAAAATTTAAATATAATATCATAATTAACTATAATTTTTATGATTTATTATTTAATTTTGAAATTTATTTTCAATTTGTAATTTATATTTTCATTTGTATTATAAACCTAAATCACGTGTTAATAATTTAAAATGTCATCGCCTAGGGATATCCAAATCGTTGAAAGTGATTCAGACAATGATATTAATGTAATGGAAGATACCAGGGAAGAAAATGTTCTTAATAGCTATAATACAAATTTCTCATTCCCTAGATTTGAATTTTTTTTAAAATAAATATAAAAACCAAAACTGGCTATTTATTTGTTTAAAATGTAAAAAAAATATTTCCTCAAATCAATCCAGTTATAACCTCCAGAAACACCTAAAGGTAAATTGTCATTTTTACATTCAAGTAGTATTTATTTTATAATAGTTTTAAGGAAATGGAGAAATATCTAAATAATTTTGGTATAGGCGACTCTACATCCAAAAAGACTAATTCAATTCCAAACCAAATAAATTAATAATACAAATGCCAATATTTCTCAGAAATTGGCTGATAAAGTTATTGTTGATTTTATAATTGATATAGTTCCTTGGTTGATAATCCATCATTTACAAAACTCTATTCCCTGGTACAACAATTTTATGTCGCCAGACACTAATGAGTAAAATAGCAGATAACTTTAAAGTAGTGCTATAAACATTTCTACGCGTTCGCGTTCATGGACAAAAATCGAACGCGTTCACGTTCATAAAACCGTTCAAAATTTTATGATAAATTTTTTTAAAATTAAATTTAATATAAATAAATGTCTTATATTTTTTAATACAATATATTTTAGCCATGTTAAAAAATAATATAGTTTTATTTTGATAATATGATTATAAATAAAATATAATATAGCGAATAAAAAGATATTTTTATTTTAAAAAAAATTTTCTTATTAAATTTTAATAACAATTGTTTTCAAAATATTTATCTAATAGACAGGAACACTTGGCAGTTAATACGGCATTAGCTTAAAAACGCGCTCTACAGGGGCAGATGAGGGGATTGCGGTATTATACTTGTTGAGTTTGGACCGATGGGTCCCTCCGACAGATTGGGAAAAATACAGTCCGTGATCGGGGGTCCGGGATGGTCGATGACGGGATCCAGGGGGCCGGGTTTTATCGATTTTGTCATGGAATCACTCGGACAACGTAGTGGAAATAATATTTTCAAAGTTTATTAAAGTCGAAGTTACAAAGCAAAAGTAAAAAAAAATCAAACTCATCCAATAATTAATCAAAAAAATAATGTATATAAATTTCACAATCGCGAATTTCATTTTTCGTGGTCTTTATTAAAATAATAAAAAAAAGAATGTTAATAATGCAAGCCCATCTCGAAAACTGGCTAGAACCAGTTTTGAGGATGAAATCAAAACAAGCTTGGTATACGTGAACAAAGGAAAAAAAAGAAGATATACATGATAATGAGAAGAAAAAAACACATCACTTCTAATTGAATAAAGAAAATAAAAATATAAATGGTAATATAAAAACATATCACTGGAACAAAGACATAATATAATAACTATTATAAATTAGTTAAAACACAACAATACTTAATAAACAGCTCTTTTAATGTGGAGAATTAATTAAAAACATATTGTTTTGTTATTTGCAAAAAATTGAGATAAGTTATCCTCCTCGAATCCATTCTCTACTCTTGCCAAAAAAAGAATATCTCGAAATTAACAGTTCTTTAGGGTTTTCAAAGCATTTTTTTCAATAACGCTATAAGTTTATTTTTAATAGGCTCGTTCTGTGGAAGTTTTATCTATGGCCATTGAAGTTTGAATGCTGGATGTATAATTGCAGAAAGAATATATTGATCCTTAATATATGTTCAAATCTTTAAAAAAAATAAAATTTATGTAATTAATTGAGAGTGTAAGGTTTAATACCTTTTATTAATCCCATTTAATACGGCGTCTATCAATGATTGACCATATTTGAGGCCACAAATTTTTTAATTTTAAAATAACTATCATTATTGTTGGGGTCAAATATCCCAAATGCATTATTTCTTCAAAATTAATGATTTAACTTAGTTATATCATATAAAATCAAATAATTAATATTAAAATCAAATGTCGTTTTAAATTGGAACCTGAAGATTTTTTGACAATACTTTTTGGCCACATTTTACACTTGGTAAGCATTGGATTAGTTCCTTCAATATAGGATGTTAATGTAAAACATTTATCAAATTTGGCCATAGTAATGATAATTCATCTGATTTTGGATTTTCAGAATCAGATGATGAGGATTAAATAATAATATCCATGTTTATGCTAATCTATTAAATTAAAATATAAACAATAATATTCAAATTAATAAACTATGTGTTAAAAAAATTGAAATGTGAAAAGGAAATACACAGCTGATTATCGGAAATATTAAATTTTTCAAATAAATAAAAATAAAAATATTTTTAAAATTGAACGAACGTTAAATTCGAACGCGTTAGTAATAAAAAAGAAACGCGTTCACGTTTAAAGTTTGTCAAAAATAAAAGGAACGCCGTTCATCATTTTTTTCAAAAAAACGAACTTCTTACAACACTACTTTAAAGTGATGAAAGTGCTCTATTAGTAGAGTTATCAGAGATATCATATATATGTACCACGGCAGATAGTTGGGCACATAACAGAAGGTAAAAACTTATAAAATGCAATAAATTACCATAAATATTTATTTTTATTACATAATTTTTTTATAATCAAAACTAACTATATTTTAATATTTATAAATGTTGATTTTTATATATTTACTATACAATAACATTATAAGCAAAAAATACAAATTTGTTTCTAAATTTTAAAAAGTAGCTTTAGGAAGTAGCTAAAGCTACTTTTAAAAAATAGTAGCTAATAGCGCGCTACTTTTTCAAATAGGGATAGCGGTAGCGCGCTACTTTTAAAAGTAGCCTTTAATAACTCTGGTCATTTCTTGGAAAATATATTTTTTAACAGGATATTAATCCTCAAAACTATACTTGCCCAAAAAGTTGAGCTAGGCAACTTTAAGGAAACAGTCCTATTTTTATCTCTAATTAGTTGTTTTTCCTACTTATTTTAAACTACTTTTGGCCTTTCCTGGTAAAATTTGATTTGGACATATTTTATTTGTTGTATCATATGAAAGCAAATTTCCATAAGCAGAACACCCGATGCATTCGATAGTTGGTATTTATTTCTTAGAAGTGTCCATGCCTTCTTCATATTACTTGCATCATCAGTTAATACGGTGTTAATTTTTGTGTGTCCTAATTCTTCAATTATCTTAATAAATAGCGTATTAGTCCCTGTTTCAATTAATTTACAAAATATGGGGCTTGAGATTGCTATAAAATTTTGCATTCCGTTGTCCACCTATTACTAATGAGGGTCAAATTTTCATTCTTATCCAATCTTTCCATTACTGTATTTTTAATCTTTTTTTCATTCACAGTTTAAAATATCTTGAAGACATTTTAAATGCAGGTTCTAACCCCTCCAAGCAGGATAATATGAATTGGAAACTACTTATAAAATATTAAATTTAAATATATCTCTTTAATCCATAAGTAATATAATGTTTATATAGCAAAACTTTTTACTTTAACAAAAATAAAAAATTATCTTTCGCGCCGGAAAGGATTAAAGAGTGAAATAATTTTTCCCAATACACATATTGAGTTATGGAAATTGAATAATTTGACAAAGATTACTTTTGAAATTCAATATCTAGTTTACTTTGCTTTACAGATGATACACTATCAATTTCATTAAATTGTTTTGTTTGACTTGTATGGTTTTTTTAGAATAATTAATTGATTTCATCAGTCTAAATTATCTTTAAGATTTCTTATATTATTATAAATTTCATATAATTATAAATATTTTTTCTAGGCTAGGTAATTAATTTAGTAAAGTATCTTGCAAAATTTAATATCCAAAATTGCAAATAAGATGGAATAATTATTAGTTTAATCCCTATTCTTACTTGTTACTTCAGTTATTACATATTTTAATTAAATATATTTCTGCTAAGTAAATAATTTTCAAATGAACATTACTTGAGTCGAGCTATTATTATGGTATGGAGAATGATGTATACGTAAAAAAACAAAAAATAATTATGAACTAGGAGGGAAAAATATTTTAGTAAAATATAATAAAATCGTGATTATTTGATCAAAAAATATATTTTGAAAATTGGAAAAACTATAGGGTAAATTTGAATTTTCTAGGGAAATTTACCAAATTTCTGTTGTGTTACAATACAATCCATATTAAGTATAATTTATGCGATATTAATATCGTGTCTAATATTACGGTTAATTTATCAGGACATCGGGAAACAGATACGCTCGGCAATTATCACAAAATAATTTATATATTTTATTATAAGAACTGAATTAAATTATTGACAACAATTTTTTATAATATTTTTGCGATAGTTTTCTTTTCATTTAGAGTTAAAATAAATTTTAAATAAAAAAGATTGTTTAAAATATCTTGCAACATTTGTTCTATACTATTATTAAATATATAAGCATATTAAATATTTAAAACCTTGTTCTGAACTATAAATATATTGCTAATAAGGAGGGATCTGGAATGGACAAAATTTTCATTGTTATTTAATTTAAAAATACTTTTATAGAAAAGGTATAATTTTATAATTCTAATAATAAAATAATACAAAAATCAGAAAAAATTGGTTTGGAATTTTATGTTTTTAAGTTCCGATTTTCTACGGGCTAGGAAAAATGTTGAACCTATGTGCCTCAGAACAGAGACCTTTTAATCAAGCCCACTCCAGGTCCGCAGTAAAAAAAATTTATAAGGCCCAGGTCCGGCCCATATTTAATATTTAATAAAATACCCAAGCCGGACCTAAAGTAAGTTCCAAAAAATTTCCCCATGCCCGACCCAAGCTCATATCCATTTACTTAATTTATTGTATTTAATGAAAATAAATATTTATGTATATTTAGGCGACCATTTTGTTAGCAAAACTGAAATTTATTATTATTAGAAGAAAAATATTGCTATATTTTTTTTAAGTTAACCGAATGTCTTAAATAAGCTTAATTTAAATAAAAAGTTTAGGCCCATGCCTATTAAAAAAAAACCAAAAACCTTAGCCCGGCCTGGGACCGATAGAAAATATAATATTAGGAACCTATGGGCTAGCCCCATGACGGTCTCTGGTTCAGAACTCTACAAATTTAAAACAATTATTACACAGGCGTTCCAAAAGACGATTTCTACTTGCGACCCGATCGAACTGTACATCTATACATAGGTCATTAAGGCCCACGGCGTATCTTAAATATTTATTTCTATAATCTTTTTAAATTTTGTTTATAATTTTTATGATATGGTATGTATATTTTTAATATTAATAATCAAAATTTTTTCTTATGTTATTCTTTTTAATATTGAATTTGAAAATAAAGATCCTAATATAACAAAAAATGTTTGACTTTTTAATTAATATATAATAAAATAAAATATTATTAAAAAATTTTTTAATGTCTACTTATTTTTTAAATTTGTTATTTCAATCCAATCACAAATAGTCATTATAAAAATGTTTTTCCCATTATATTCAAGATAGTATATTTTGTTGCAATTATATTAAAGATTTTTTTTGAAAGTTTTTTGGTCAGGTTTTTTTCCGGGATTCCTTTCATAAAATTTATTATGAAAACCTACTTGATTATCATCCGTATATTTAATCCTATTTTCCAAAGGAAAAGGTGGAATATTGTGGTCAGAATTGAAAGTATAGACAGGTTGAAGAGGATGAGAGGCTGGAACGTTAATTATAGCAAATTCGACGGGAAAAGTGCCAGCTTGTTGGGTTACTTCATTACCGTATTCATCCTTGGTCTGTATAAAAAAAATATAATTTTATCTTATAAATAAATGTTGAAAACTTTATTTCTTGTTTTTTAAAAAAATCATTTATTTCTTTCTTTTCTTCATTCATTATCTTTTTCATATCTTTCGTTTTTCTCTTTAATAATTATTTCTTTTATTTTTTTATTCCGTCTATTCTCTTGTTATCTTATATATTAACTTTTTTTTGTCTTTTTCAAAAAAAATTTCATTAACTTGTATTGTGATATTTACCTTGTAGAATACGTCAGGCACGTATTGAATGTTAGTGGAAGGCTTGACAAATGCCAATTCCGGACACTCTTTGGTCGGCAGCAAGCAGCCATCCCTTACCAAAGCACAACACTGTTCGCTCACCTGGTAACCTTCAAAATGAATAGATTCATTTTCATCTCCTAGAAAATTTTAATTTTTTTAAGCTTTTAATATGTGATAGTAATAAATTATAATAAGGTTTAATTGCAGAAGAAAAAATAAATGGAAGAATAATTCCTGAAAACTATAAGGTTATAACATTTATCTATTTTACCTGTTACTATCACGGTAAAGAATTTGGACCCATAAACGTTATTGGTTGAAAGTCTACATATATTCGGGTTCAAATTTTGGTTAGACGCAGCTATCACGCATTCGCTAGCGCTCAAAAAGTATGTATCCTATTTCGATTAAAATGAAAAACAAAGAATATATATAATCAAGTTCAAAATAGAATGTTCTGATGAAATGAAGTATTGTAATTACATTTTTATAAATGGATGAATATGGAATATTAAAAAAAATATCAAATCAAACTTCTAAAAAAATTATCTTTTTTTGGTTTTAAAAATATTACCATCCTTAGTACCCCATAGTAGAGATCTGCAAAGCCCAGTCCGGCCAGAGCGGACTTATTCTTTAAAAAATCGGGTCGGGCCTAATATTTAAAAAAAATTAAAACCGGCTCGGGCTTTATTTTTTAAAATAATAATATTCAATTTTGTGAAATAAATTGATACATTTCAAAATTTTTGCAAGTAACAGGGCGACAATATTTTTCCATTTGCAGAATATTATTTTTACAGGGCTAGATCGGGTGTACAAATAATTTTTATTTAACTTTAGGTTAAGGTTAAATCAAAAAGTTTCGTTATGAATCAGTCCGAACAAGTTTTTAAAAAATAATTTCGGGTCGGGCCAGGCATGGTAAATCAGGTCTGATGTAGATCACTTCCCTGCAATCCTAATCAAACAATAAAAAAATTCCATAAAAGACGAGTTTTTGCTAGTGTTGTTAAACGGCTCGATTTGAGCCGATTTTTAAAAACGGCTAACTCAACATTATAGCCAGGAAAATATTGCCTAAGCTTCGAGATTTCACCAATAGATGTTCAATCCTATATGCTCTTTATGAGCAAAATCTTTAGACTTGCATAATATTTTTATGGATAAAATATTGAGTTAATCGTTTTTAAAAATCGGCTCAAATTGAGCCGTTTAACACTAGTTTTTGCAAAGGAAAATTAAAAAATCCCGCTATTACCCAGAAGGTAACCTGCATCGAAAATTCGGACTAAATCAAAATACCTCCTACCTACTGTTGCGTATTGGCTAAAAACAACGCCTAAGCCTAAAAATCGGCTAAAATAAACTAGTCAAAAATTCTGCATCGATGCCTAGCATTAATTATTATTTATTTATTTTATTTATATTTAATGTAAATATTTTATTATTATTAACAAATAAACATGATATGATTTAATATTTTTTTATTATATTGTTATATTTTGAAATGAAAATAAATTTATTATAAATTTATTTAATAATATGCTGCTATTGTAAAAATGTAATATTCTTTTTAATATAATTTATTAGTGATTTTTACAATCTTCTTTGTAAATATATCTTTTATTGAGGAATTATATAGTAAATTTTATTAGATAAATAAAATATCTTTTAGGTGAAATCTTTTATAATTTTTTTTATCAATTTTGTAAAATTATCTATATTTTTATTAAATGTGCTGGTTTTTTCTAAATTATTTTTTAAAAATATTTATATTAAACTTTTTTGATGTTATTTTTAGAGATGTAAAGGTAGGGAAATTTCCCGGGAACATTCATATTTTACCGGGAAATTTCCCGAATTTTCCCTTAATATAAATATATTATTTATTTGCAAAAATTATGATTTATATTTTATTTCAATAATTATGATTTATAATTTAATTTATAAATAATTTTTATTTTACTCGTGAGTCTTTAAACTTATTTTTTTATTAGTGCAATCATTGAGTGCAATTTTTCAAATCTATAATTTTAAAAGTACAAAAATAAAGGTAAAATGTTTCACATTATATTCTCATACATAATATTAATGTGATATATTAATGAATTATTAATAATTAATGATATATTTAGATTTGATATATAATAGTGCGCAGAAATTGAGCGTTTGCAGTATGTTTGTTAATGTAACGCATCTTTGTTTAGATTGAAAGCAGTATATTTTTTATTAAAGTTTTTTTTATAATTTCTTAAACAAAAAAAGAGTTTATTTCTTACCTTAAGGTAAAATAAGGAAGTTTAATAATATTTGTTTATTTAGATTTACTAAGAATTTATGATTCAATCAGGGTTTTCAAATTTTTTTGTGGCCTTGGATGCAAAACATATGTATATAAATGTTTCTTTGTTTATCCTACCTTAATTTATATATTTATAATAATCTATATATTTTAATATAAATGTGAAATAAATTTTGAATAGTTTGCATATTTATATATTTTATATTTTTTTCAAGACACTAGATATAAAAATAAATAGATTTAGAAATATTGCTAATCAAATTTCAAATTTATGATATAATTTGATTAAATCTATCTAATAATTGCTAAATAAATTTTTAATAGTTGCTTATTTATTTATATTTTACAAAATAATTTTAATTACTATATTTTTCAATCTTTATGAAAATGTACACCATAATAAGAGTATTAAATGTCTTATTTAATAAAATAATTTTAATTATATTTTTCAAAAATGGACACTAGAATATGGAATAATATAACTTTATTATATATAAATAAATAGAATTACAAAAAAAACAAATCAATTTTCATAGATATAATTTCATTAAATAATGAGGTTTGATTTGCAGGTATATCTGTTGAATTTAGAGGCCACAATTCAATTTTCCATTAAAGTATAATACAATGGAGATATTTCATTTTTGAAAAAATATTTGTTTGATTTATATTTTATAGAGAAACATTCTATAATAATGTTAAATTTATAGATAAATATATATTTTACTGGCTCTCAAGGCACCCTTTCCAAAGTCAATATATCCAACAATGCATTTAATTTTAACCCACTTGCCTTCCTTTGGTATAATTTCTTTAGGACTAAAACTATCCTCTATTGTTGGCTCCATGAATTTAATGCAATCATACCATCTGTATGAGAGTTTAGAGCCAGAAGCTCCTGAAACCTTTGGTCTTTAAAGTTTTGCAACTTATTCTTTATGCATGCTACAGTTGTATCATGCAATGGAAATTCCATCCCCAAGCTATTAAAAATATAATTTATCATTATTTATATATATTTACCTTAAACTACTGGTTAATAAACCATCTAATACTAATATAGAATTCTTATGGTCTGGACGCTGCTGGCTCCAGACCATTTGTTGAGTTTCCAGTAAGGTACAAAATTTTTTAGTAACCTTATCATCCCTTCTAAAATTATAATATGTATCCTAAAATTATATAAATATAAATTCCAAAATTATATAAATAATCATTTCTTAAATTATATAAATATCAATTAATATATTCTAAATAATATAATATCAATTAATATATGAAATAAATTATACCTACAATTTGTATCCATTATTAAATTTTAGCGCAAAATTAAAAAAGCATAGAAAAAATCTAACCAGTTTGCTTTTTTATTAACGTTTGCCTAAAAAAATCCAAGCTGCACTCTACCATATTAGCTTTTAAAACGGAGAGTTGCAACGCTCAATTTGTGCGCACTATAAGTATCTTTATATGTTAATCATACTATATAACTGATATAATGATTTATGATGTTTAATATATTTTAATCATACTATATAACTGATATAATGATTAATTGATGTTTAATTTAAATTAATATGATTGCAATATTTTATAGATGCCTCGGAAATCTTCCAATATCTGGAAACATTTTATTAAAGTTAGAGCTAATAACAAGAAAGGATACATATCAATATGCAAATATTGTCAATTAACATATAATTTCCCAAATTGAACAAAGATGTCTCAGCATATCAAAAAATTTCAAGGGTATATTAACAGTTTACAATTTAATGAAGTTGATCGTGATAATAATAATTCTACTGAAGAGGATGTTGTAGTATGTTTACCAGATTCCAGTAATCCTAATAAAATTATATCCCAAAAAAACATAAATAAAACCATTCTAAATACTTTTAAAGAAAATACCAATAATTTTAATGCTGGCACATCTAAAATTAAAAATTTTTTCGACACTATAACCGAACAAAATCAAACGCAACTTGACAGTGCTTTGGCATTGGTTATTTTTATGTCAAATTGCCCTTTTAATTTAGTTGAAAATAAATATTTCATCAATTTTTTAAAATTAATGCGTCCAGCCTATAAAATTCCTTCTAGACATGCAATTAGTAACACATTACTAGATTTTGAATACATTAAAGTGAAAAATATTATTAACAATAAATTCAATAATTTAAAAGATTTTACTCTCATAAGCGATGGCTGGACAAATATTCGCGGAGAGTCCATTATTAATTTTATAATAATAACTCCAGAACCAATTTTTTTTAAATCCATTGACACAGGTTCCAGTGCTCACACTGGTGAATATATCGCATCTGAGTTGATCAAGGTAATAGAAGAAATTGGTTGTCAAAAATTTATCTCACTAGTAACTGATAATGCAAAGAATATGAAAAAGGCCTAGAGTCTTGTTAAGGAAAAATATAATTATATTGAATGCTTTGGATGTGCCGCACATGGGTTGAATCTGCTTATTAAAGATTTATGCCAAATACCTTTTATTAAAAAGATCATCAAAAAAACCAAGCAAATAATTAAATATATAAAATTTCATGGTATTTTATTAGCAACTTTTAAAGAAAGGCAAATAATGAAAGGATATAAATCTTCCTTAAAATTCCAAGTCCGACAAGATGGGGAGGTTTTGTTATAATGTTGCAAAGTGTTGTGAAAAATAAGGAAGTTTTGCAAGAAATTGCAATTTCTAGTTTATTTACAAACAAACAAAGAAGGCTTATTATATTAGACAAAGAAGGATACTGGGATAAATTAGAGTCTGTACTGACCTTTTTGGAATTTATTTATAAGAAAATTATATTTGTAGAATCGGATTCAGCGGTATTATCTGACGTTCCAGAAATATTTTGGGACATAAAAGATAAACTCAATTCATCAACTTTTATTTTTAATGAAAATGATTAGAAAAGTGTTAAGATGCATATTAAAAAACGAAAGAAATTTTGTTGCCGAGAATATCATTATGCAACAAATCTTCTGGATCCTCGATATTATGGTGTGATTTTAACAGACCGTGAATTAACAGCAGCTTTAAATATAATAAATATTATTTCAGGCCAAATTAATTGCGATATTGAAAAAATTATGGGTAATTTAGCAGAATATCGTTCAAAACAAGGTTTCTATAAAGGAGCTGGCATATGGGAGAGCTCAATCCATACCAAAACACTCATATGGTGGAAAGGGTTGTGTACAAATCAACCCCTTTGTCAGGTGGCAGTAAGATGTCTTTCGATACCACCCTCAAGTGCCTCTTCAGAAAGAGTCTGGTCAGCATTTGGAAAAATTCATTCAAAAACGAGAAATAGAATGAAAGAGTCGAAAAATTAATATCAATAAGGCATAACATACATTTAAAGGATCATACAAATACATCAAGTTCGGGATATCATCAAAAGAGTTCAGATTCCGATTTATCAATATCAAGTGATAATGATGATATTTCAATTTCATCCCATGAAGATATTGATGCTATTTCATTAGCATCCCAAGAATTTTATGTAATTTCTGATACATGCTTTTTGTAATTAATAAAGTTATTCAAAAAATGATGTTTATAGTGTATTTATTTTTGTCTTTATTGTTTAATTATATTATTTTCCCTTAGTTCCCCAAATTTAATAAAGTTATTCCATAAAAAAAATTGAAAGGTTTAAAGTATATTTTGTGGTTATTTTTTAATTTTCCGTTATTTCCCCCTTTCCCTTTTTTCCCCAATTTTCCCGGGGAAATTTTCCCTGAACCAATCGGGAATTTTACATCTATAGTTATTTTATATGATCTTTTTAAGAATAATATTTTTTAATGTGAGAATTGTCATAATCGTTATTTTTAAAATTTTTTGACGAAAATATATTAAAATTAGTATTGATAACATATTTAAATAAAACTTCAGTGAAGATGTACCATAGAAAAGTGACAATTGTCATAATCGTTATTTTAAGAGTTTTTTGAATTTTTTTGACAAAAATAGATTAAAAAAAGTATTGATAACATGTTCAAATAAAAATTTAGTGAAGATGTACCATAGAAAAGTGACAATTGTCATAATCGTTATTTTTAAAGTTTTTTGAATTTTTTTTGACGAAAATAGGTTAAAATAAGTGATGATAACATGTTTAAATAATATTTAGTGAAGATGTACCGTAGAAAAGTGACAATTGTCATAATCGTTATTTTTAAAGTTTTTTGAATTTTATTGACGAAAATAGGTTAAAATAAGTATTGATAACATGTTTAAATAAAACTTCAGTGAATAATAACATGTTTAAATAAAAATTCAGTGAAGATGTACCATAGAAAAGTAACAATTGTCATAATCGTTATTTTAAAAGTTTTTTGAATTTTTTTGACGAAAATATGTTAAAATAAGTATTGATAACATGTTTAAATAAAAATTTAGTGAAGATGTACCAAAGTTTTTTGAATTTTTTTGACGAAAATAGGTTAAAATAAGTATTGATAACATGTTCAAATAAAAATTCAGTGAAGATGTACCATAGAAAAGTGGCAATTGTCATAATCGTTATTTTTAAGTTTTTTGGACAAATGGGTTAAAATTAGTGCTATAATAAATTTAATAGGTATAGAAATTAAGATACAAATATTTATTTTCTTTTAAGCTAAAGATAATTTGATTGATAAATAATCATTCATTAACTCGACATTTTCTTTTCTATTTTTTCATATAATTTGATGTAAATATTAATAAATTTTTTTATAAAATAACATCAAAAAAGTTTAATATAAATATTTTCAAAAAATTATTTAGAAAAAACCACCTCATTTAATAAAAAAATAGATAATTTTACAAAATTGATAAAAAAAAATTATAAAAGATTTCACCTAAAACATTGTTTATTTATCTAATAAAATTTACAATATAATTCCTCAATAAAAGATATATTTACAAAGAAGATTGTAATAAATTATATTAAAAAGAATTACATTTTTACAATAGCAGCATATTATTTTTTTTATTAAAAAAACATAATAAATAAAAAATATTAAATCATATCATGTTTATTTGTTGATAATAAAAAAATATTTACATTAAATATAAATAAAATAAATTATTTTACTAAAATAAATAAATAGCCAGCAGGACTAATTTATTTTAGCCGATTTTTAAGCTTAGCCTAATTAGGCTTAATTCACCTAAAATCTCGGCTAAGCCGATACCACAATTTCAATTATTAAATAATTCCATGGATCGAATATCTGATTATTTAATTCATTATTTTAAAATTGAATATTATTTTAATTACTTTATTCCTCAAACAGGAAACTTTCCCCTCTTCTCCTTCGCTTTTGTCCTTACGCATTTTACGTTTTGCTATAAGATCTGTGAATATCCAACCTACTTTACGCAATCCCAATTTTTCGGCCACGTAATCGGCCTTTGTTTCGTCTATTTTTGTTTATTCATGTATAAAAAATTTAGCAAAACGTATTACAGTTTCGATAAAAAAAGAAATCCTTCAATCAAAAATGAAGAGTTTGTTTAAAAAAGTTTAGTTATGCTTTTTTCTTTATTTTTATTAAATTATGCCAACAGATACATGCCGCTACTCACGTTATCAGCCAGTATCGATTTAGTCCGATACTTTCAATTTTAGTGGATAATTAACCCTCATAAAAAAATACTTTTTAGCCCATATTAAGCCATGAATTGATAAAAAAATTTAACCACCAATTTTTCAGATAAGAAAGAACGATATTTTAATTTATTTTTAATCTTATGTAAATATTAATTATAAATAATAAAAAATGATAATAAATGAAATTTAATAATAATATAATTTTATTATTATAGGAATTGGCGATATCGTATTGGCATCCAAAAAAGTGGTATCTACTTTTCTAATTTTTTTGGTTAATATAGGTAGGAAACATTTTTAAACAATGGTATCATTTCAGGGTAAAAATGGATATTTTGTTGCAAAATCTATGTCTATTAATACAAAATGAACTTTGTTTGAAAAAAGAAGGTTAAAATAGTAATGATATTTTTGTATATAAAATTTATCTCTAGCATAGAAAAATAAAATATAATAAAATTTAAGAAATTTTAAAGTGATAATTAAACATTATTCTAATAGAATAATAATAATCCTATCTAGTAGTAATCATAATGGTAAGACCTCACGATACCCTTAATTCAAGTGCTTCAAGCTCTGTCACTCACCATTTCCTCAGCTAAGTATATGTTCCTAGATTCTACAACAATCATAGGGGAGACCGGGGTAAAACGATAGGCATTTTGCATATTTACCATAAAAATTTTAAATAAGAGTCAAACACAACAAATTATAAATCAATGTGTAGCCCCATCTCTCTTCTACAAGATAAAAAAAAGTGTAGCCCTCTACCTATAATATTTTAGGAGCTATGATTAGTTATGTAAAACTACTCATTTTCGCCATTTTACCCTGCCAGGGTAAAATGGATAAGCACTAGGGTAAAGTGGTTAAAATAATATTTGACACATATTTATTGTTTTATTTAACAAATATTACAAATTTAAGATTTATTTATGATTTTTATTTAAAAACTAATTGATACAATAAGGACATGTAAAATAATTATCATAATTAGCACATTTAGAATGTGCCCATTCAAGGCACATTGTACATTTTAGCCATTCATCGCCCTCGCGACTATTTTTATTACAAATAACACATAAACAATTATTTTTTGATATTTTTTTTTCTCTGAATTAATAATTTTTTTTTATAAGGTGTAGATGTTAATATTTCTGAATTCTTTTTTTTAGATATTTTATCCGATGAAATATTGAATAATTTTGGAATAGGTATTATAGATGAAGGATTGAATACTTTATTATAATTTTTTGAGCATGATGGTAACATATCATGATAAGGTTCATCAATATCATCTGGAACATTTTCGTTCAATAATATAGATAAATCATAGCATTATTTTGAGTCACTGTAAGATTTTGAGTCACTGTAATATTTTCATCATTATTTTCAAATTCAATATTTGAGTTAGCATTTGAATTATTGCAGCAGATATAATCTTGTTCTGATATATTTGGGTTTAAAGGAAATATGCCACATGCTAAGAATCCATTTAATATATTATTTGATGTCACTGCCCTTGGTATTTCATTTTTTAACAGTCCTGGAATATCATAAATCTGAAATTGTTGCCCCACATGATTTTTAGATTGAGCATTATTAAAATTATGAAATACAATATAATTTCAATTGAGCATTTTTATTAAAGTTACCAAATTAATATTGATATTTAGATTGAGCATTATTAAAATTATGAAATACAATATAATTTCAATTGAGCATTTTTATTAAAGTTACCAAATTAATATTGATATTTAAATTGAGTTATTAAAATTATGAAATACAATATAATACAAACAATATAATTTAATTACTTGTTTAGGCGTTAATCCCATAAATGACCTACTTGTTTCTAATATGTAGTCACACAATCTAGATTCTTCTTCATTTGTAAATATTTGTTTATGATGATCTGAACTTTTAATACCAATTTTACATCTCCTTCTCAACGTTGTATAAGGTATGTTAAATTTTTTAGCAGACAAATTTAATGAAGTATTATTTGTTATTTTATATTTTATGGCTTCATTTATTATATTTACATCTCTGTATATGGTTTTTCTTTTATAATTTCTCATTATTTGATTGATACAATAAAAATTATAATAAATGAATTAATGAAAAATTAATGTGAATAATTTTATATTTTAACCGTTTTACCCATAACAGCTTTACCCCTAGGTGACATATATTATAAATATCGTTATTGCGTGACTTCTAATATAGCTAAAGATGTCAGATAAATTTTATTTTATAGCTAATACATTTAGGAACATGTGTGCCAAATTTTGAATCCTGAGGATATGTAAATTTTACTAAAAGCAAAATATACTAGAGAATGATTTTTATATTTTTTGGGTAAAAACAGTTTTTTGACAAAATAAATAAAACCAGGTAAGTTTTTTAAAAGATGAACATAGGTAAGAACTTAGATATAAAAATACATCTTCACACCAAATTTAAGGTCTTTATACTCAATGGTTAAAAAGTTATTCGCGTTAACATTGTTACCCCGTCAATCGCTTTACCCCGGTCTCCCCTACTCCTCAATTTTATATTTAGATGTCCCCTTCTACTTTACTTTACCCTAACTTTTTAGTCTTTCAATTTTTTTTCTAATGAATTCCGTTCTCCTTTCTACATGATCAAGCCAACGCAACTTTATATTTGAAGTAATCATCAACGTTCCACTAATTTCATTCCTCAAATGCTAAATTTATCTTATATCCAATTACTAATTATTGATTCTTTGGCTTATAATTACCTAAATATTTCAGAGACTTGCAAACATATACCATTCCCAATCTAGCCCAATTAATATGGGAATATTTAAATAAAATCCGAATCAAGCTATTTTGCGACGATTTAGGGTGTGTAAATAAAAAAAAATTTGATTTAAACCGCGAATTAAATCAATTAAAAAAATCTAAACCAATTTTTAGGTTGAATTATAGCGACCTTTAGGGTTCCTTACAACAAAGTCCTTAACATTAATAAAACAAAGGGACATTTATTGGTAAATCTCGAATATCTACATTTCAGCCCTTCTGAATTCGGATCTGGGACTATTCTTATATCGCCCTATGAGGTCTATAACAAAACCCTCAACATCATTGAGACAAAGGAGCATTTATCGATAAAGCCCTTATCAATTCCGGTCTGGAACTATTCTTATATTGTTCCATAGAGTCCCTCCAACAAAACCCTTAACATTATTTAAACAAAGGGCATTTATCGGTAAAATTTGGATGACTACAAATTCAGCCTTATTTACACTTCCCTAAAATGATCCCATTTGTAAATACAAATTAAAAATTTATTTTCAAGCCAGACCCAAAATTTTTAAAATTCGTTATTTTTAATAATTATGACTGTAGTTTGAAATTTTTTAAAAGGCACATTTTTCAAAATTAAAATAATCTGAACCCAACCCTTTTTAAAAGTTTAGGGAAAATTGTTTTCTTTTATCTATCTTTTGAAAGATATCATGAAAATTCGCTTAAATAAAAATTTTTATTTTTTAAAATTGTAATATATTATTCTAAATATAATGGTGATAAACTATTTTATTTTTCTGGACTCTGAACTCGTACCGGTTCAGGAAATTTTTATTGAATTCGGACTATTTTTTAGAACAGAGGTTCCCAGCCCTGTTCGAAAATGTAGAGTAATTAAACCCTTAACAAGTTGAAAGACATATGTAAGTTTAGTTTATTTTTTATTACAATACCCAAATATAGTTCGATAAGTAATTTAATATTATTTAGTTTCTCTGATAATAATACTCGATATCAGAGATGAATATTTTTTCTTAGTTCCTCTTTTAATTTCACAATCTTCTTAAACAATTTTTAAGCAATTTAAAACTTTTCAAACTTAGGCTCTATAATCTAGGATAATTAACAATATAAACAATTCCTATTCCATCGATATTTAATGAAATATTATAAATATCGAAAAAAAAATTTAATAGGGGAAACCGTGGATAGTGTTATCTTGAGGCAGGTATTCCTTTATCAAATAATTCTAAGCATAATGTACCTTGACATTATAAGCTACTTAAATGGTTCTAAAAATGTTAAACAAAAATTTTTAAATGCAAATTTAAATTTCAACATCTCGAAATTAAATTTTTTTATAAAAGTTTAAAGTAAATATCTATTCTAAATGATTAAACATTTTAAGTAAAAGTATTGACAATATTTATGTCAATTTAATATCTTAAAATTAACTTTTCATTTCATGTGAATGGAAGTCGCTGGTTCATATTAGTCATTATTAAGCAGATATTTATTTTTAAGACCGGGTAATTCCATACCAAATCGATAACTTTTCGGCCCGACCTTTTTGATTTTGATAAAATTTTGCATACTGAGAGAATATCATTAGAATCCAATCCAAAATTTTAGCCTCCTAGTACTCATAGTTCCTGAGATATCCATGGTCAAAATGCCAAAAATGACCTTTTTTAGAAAAATATGATTTTTTAAAATTGAGATAAATAATAAGATTTTAAAATATAAGTTATATGTCATTTTGTAACTCTATTGAAGGCCTTTTATTAAATACTAAGGATTTTTTAAAAATAATATTGTTGCGGTTTTTATTTACGTAAAAATTTTAAATATGAAAACTCCAGGTGTTTCGCTTTCCAAATTTTTCCAAATTTAATATTTTCTTATTCTCTAACATTATATCTTTTCATAAAAATTTTTTTAACTTGGGACAGCTATGGGTTTTTTAGTTATTGCGATTTAAAAACCAAAAAATAAATTTTTTTTCAAAAATAGATGGCACTCCTCTTTAT